TACGGTTAATCTACCAAAGCATGTAGTGACTAACTTGGGTATCAGTAAACTACTACCCAAGTACATCGGCCCATTTCGTGTATTGCACCGCCTAGGCAATGCATATACGATCGAGTTACCACGTAAGATGCGAACGCATCCCACGTTTTACGTTGGTCGGCTTAAGCCGTACCATCAGTACGCTGCTTCTTCCGATGAAGAACGCCCTTGCGCTCAAGCATCTCGCAGAGAGCCTTGTGCTCCCGATGGTGGGCATCAACAAGGGTCTGAAGAGCAGCTACCTCATCCCGAGACCGATCAGCAATCCCACGAGCTACCCTTAGCTCGTCACGAAGAGATGTCAGAGATCTCTCGTTCTCAAGCTGAGCAAAGGCAAACTCAGCTCGATGCTTCGAGGCAGTGTCCGCCATTTGGAGACGCCTATTCCGCTCATGTTCGAGATCGTCGCGTAACCCTTGCGTTACGCGATCAAAGAAGCTCTCGGGAACACACCGATCCACATGATCGTGTGGAGAGCGTCTTTCCTCCTCCTCCTCCACCTCCATTAGAGGACTCTCGCGGTGGCCAGCGCTATCTAGTTGAGCATCTGTTGAACCACCGCGACGTGAACGGACGTCGGACGAGTTATCTCGTCCGGTGGCGCGGCTATCCCCCGTCCTGGGATTCTTGAGAGCCCCGCTCCCAACTGATGGTTGACGTACTGGGTCTGGTTGAGCAGTACGACGCGGCACATCCTGTGCCGCAGAAGGACCGCCGGAGAAAGTCTTCCCGGCAAGGTCGTAAAGGAATTTCAGGTTGTCAATCCCTTCGTACATCTCACTAGAGATACGTACGCGCCACCACGGGCTAGTAAGGAGGCAAGCCTCCTTAGGTGCTCGTGCAGAGTTGTTCACACAACATGGGCACGAGTCTCCCCATGAGAGGCAGGGTAATCCTTTCTCCCTTGACAGACGATGCAGCTTGTAGCGTGCACCTGTCGGGGTTCGCTTTTCAAACTTATCACAAGCTTTGATAAGTTTGTCGTTCCAAGCGTCACGACCTACATCCTCAAGGTTATGGATGTAGGCGTTCCACGCTTGAAGTAGTGAGGGACCATCACGCTTGTGATTCCCACTGTACCATCAATGTCTAAAGAAAGCATCGATGAAGAATTCGTTTTCAGCGCGATAGTTTTTCGCGCTGGGGTCAAGGTGATGGATCCTTGACGAATCGAACAATCGTGTTCGATAACGATCACTCGTCGTCGCCGACAAGTGATCCATGACGGATTTTGGAGGCATCCATGCCTTCTTCTCGGGAGCGAGACGCAAGACATTGCGGTCCCGCTCTTCCTGCGACGTGCCGACAGAAGTACTGGCACCTCGCTGCGAAGTGGTGTCCATAGGAGAACCGACACCACTATTAGCGCCCGAGTCTCGCGACCTCGAGCGCCTTCGCTTCGGCGATGGTTCATCTGATTCATCAGATGAACCAAAGATGCTGCGACGCAAAGCATCGTCCATGCCACGCTTGGCAGGCGGCTTAGATTCAATCGCCGTCGATACGGATCCGTCATCCGTATCAGGAGAGTACGAGACACCAAGCTCATACTCTGTGAAGACACGAGTGTCTTCATGACCAGCGCCTGCATCACCAAGTGACACAGGCTGAGTCGCTTCAGCAACCGATGAGACATCAGTTGCTGTTGTTTCTGCTCCGGCGTCCGCACAGAGACGTGCGGACGCGCTCTCGGCGGCCTTGCTCGCGCATCGCATGGGCTTGTTAACCATGCGATGAATTGTTGGAAAGTGGACTCGGACCAACAAGTGCAAACCCTGTCCCAAATGATTTGGGACGAGTATCCATTTAGTCAATCAGTCACTAAAGTGACTGTTGTTTAAGGGGGGGGTGATGTAACGGGGTGAATCGTTACATAACAATTTATAAGAAATTGTTAATAGAATATAACTATAAGAGTTATATTCTCAGAATATTGTCATAAGGACAAATATTCTGTAGCACTTACGAGTAGTTCCTAATTGGTTGATATAGGCCATTATATCAACCAACGAATACGCGCCACGACAGACGCACGCAATGAGTGGTGAGCAGATAACTGATTTACACATTTGTATTTAGACATAGTTAGATGAAGATAAATAGTGATTTATTGCAGACATTAACTATTATCAATACAGTTCTACTTTTTACTTTAACCAAGTACTCGCTTCTTCTTACCGTCTTCCTCTGCACGTACGAGTGTACGTGAAGTTACGAGGCACCGCCTTATTCTGTCATCAGAATAAGTAGCTTGTACTGTCACCAGTACAAGCTTCAGGGTGCCCCGTTACAGTTGTGGATAGTGACAAACCCTAATGCAACGGCCGCATCGTTTTCACAAATTCTAACGCATTTATCGCATCAGTGATGCTGATCATTGTTTGCTTTGTTTCGATATGATTGCTTTACACTTGCTCCCTCTCATCTTAGGATTTAAGGACATCGCTTACTGTGGCTGTAACACAGACAACGACGTCCACCACACGACATTTTGCGCTAAAAAGGTACATTTATATATAATTACGACAAAATGTGACTTTTAAAATCCAACTGATGTGATATTGTTCCCTCTACCCTCGACTCGTACTCAGCCAATCGTGTAGCGTTACATCAAACTGAGGGGATTTTACCAGAAATCTGAGAGGGAGATAAACGGCTCCCAAATTTATAAAAGGCAAAAGACAGAGGGAAATGCTAAATTCACACCCTTCCTTCAAAATCTTATATATACAAGGTACGCAATCGCCGTCAGACAAAGACGAGTACTTTCTCTGCTACTTGGCTACAGGCGACACTCTTGCGCGCTGCTGTAACTGCTGGCACCGACATAGGCAAAAAGGTCAAAGCCACGATGGAGTCGGGCGCACTTGTGATCGATGAGATTGTCGTCGGTATCATGAAGGATGCCATCTAGAGTTCGGAATGCCGTCGTGATTTTATTCTTGACGACTTTCCACCAATTATATGTGCAATCCATAAGCACGACATGATGGTATCGGCATGCAATCCGACTACTTTCTTTGTGAGCAAAACAAAGGGAGGTTATTGCTCCATCATCATCACATCTGTGAAAGTGCGTAAAATTGCTTGCTTACAAATCATCAAAAAGAGCTTGTATCGATTTCCTTCCATTTAGCTTGTCCATTCGAAGTTTCGTACGCTCATTGTACAATGTAGAGAGGTTTGCTAGGGCACCGTCATTCTCATAAGAAGGGATGAAAGAATCCCTAACGGTTTAACACCAGCCAATGTCATATTTCTGACAGTATCGGGCTGCCAGCTATTTAGCTTTATATGAGTCGAATGACCAGACGGATGGAGTGACGGCTCGTGATTGTGGCATCCATTCATCACGTTAACTTCCAATTACCCCATTTTTTGAGGAATTTCCACTTAAAAGGAACGGGCAATCAATTCGGCGTGAGCTGGTCTAGCGTTGGCGCTCTTTTCCAAGCTTTGGTACGTTTACGGCACCTCGATCACATTTAAGGTAGACACGCTTTCCTGCAATCGAGCTTTTAATTGTAACAGCATAGCCTTGGCCACGTGCGAACGTCTGCATAGTATCCATAAGTTGCTCCCGACTGGCATACTCAACCTCGGGAGGAGGAAGCATGTTATTGCGTGGTGCCCTATCAGTAAACGCTGGAGCAGCTAGACCACAGGCGTGAGTAGTATCTTAGGTACTTCTTACGTATTACTTGCCAATTAATGGCCTAGATTATCGAGTAATGCTTTTGTCAGAAAACAAATTTAAAATGAATTGGATTTTTATATATAAAATTTTGAGGAAGGGTGTGAATCTAAGGAAAAGGGGTGTGAATTTAGCAATTCCCAAGACAAATGATTCGCTCTAATACCGGTACAGTACAGAATATCGATTACACACCCGCTGGGCGTCTGATTATCAGATTTGGTAGGTAATTCGTGGCATCGCTTACACTTGGACAAAAGATCGTTCACGCTTACTCATCTCCAAATGTAGGCCCTTACACAGACTCAGATTGCGCTGCAAAGGCTTATAATGCCTACAGCAGTTTCTGTATTTCATTCGCGCCACGTGTGAGTTTTTTTGCGGGCTTGCTTCCTTTTTCCCTTCACTTGTATCACCAAAACATCAAGAGAACCGTTTCTAGACTCTTATATTGACGGTTATACCAGAGTAGCGGCATGTACATTCACAACATTTCTAACGAAGGCCAAATTTGTACTATTTCGTGCGCGCGAACAGTCACAACTACTTGTGATAGAATGTGTGGTGATCAATCCGCACCATCATAGCTAGGACACGAGTAGAAGTTCCTAGCGGATTTGGAGCTGGCCGTCGAAGCACAAAGAAACGTCAAAGCACAAGAAATATCAAAGCAGTCGTTCAAAAAGTTCGCGCCGCAACATCCTGTGAATAAGCCTACGTCCTGTAGTGACGGTGGCCGGGCAAGCCATTACGAGCCAAATGTTACAGGACTCTTCGAGCTGTCGTTTCAATTACAATGTACGTAACTGTCTCGAGTAAATGTAGCGTAAATATCCGCCGCACTGCTAAGCGAAGAAAGCGGTGAACGATCTATGTTCCCAAGCAATACATTCATCGCTTTGCGAACAGACGAAGGGATAAATCGTGAAGACGTGCGCTCTTGCTACAGTGAAACTTACATTAGGTTATACGAGACTTATCCGGCGATCGCTCACCTTCCGCTGAACTGCGAAGGGCCTAAACTTCGTGCATCTACGATGCCTACAGGTTTGCAAACACACGCAGACCTGATAAAAAGTGCCGCTGCAGAAAAGCTCCTTCGATGTACGCTCGCACCTGAACAAGACAAGACAGTAAACCAAAATTTCAGTGGTGCACTTTCCGCTGGAGACGGTATGCTCTAGCAGCAATGCACTGTGGACACGACTTGCCGACCCGCGCGAGGTCTCACTTTTGAACATTGATCGCTGTACGATAAGGCGTAAGGATGTGTTGGCGAGGTCGCCCCCGCGAGACAGCCACTGGAGACGGCTACGAATGGATTTGCAGCTACTTGAGTAGTTGCAATGGCGACTTGTTGGAGTTCGATCTAGACGTTGATGGCCAGCACTTTTATGACAATCTGGATCTCTTACCCCCGTACACACCTCAGCCAAGCGAGTATTGTGGAGAGTTACTCGAGTTGACGCCGTTTGTAATCAGTGTTATTTCGAAACCCTCGTCTACACCGAATGGTACGACATCCGGCGCTGATGTGGCATCACCGATATCGTATTGCGCCCTACTCGAGGAAGCTCAGTCGACAGCTACGACCACCGATCCATCTGAGGGTCGTAGCTGTCGACTATTATCGAACGCAGTGACTACTCCCCGCAAGAACCGTACACGCAGTCTATACATGCATGACAAGAAAGCAGCGACAGTGCAGCGTGGACCTCTTCCTGGTTGTTGCACGATGCCACCCACTCGTTCGAGTTCACGGAAGAAACTCAACCGCCGTCTTTTCTAGCTCTGGCAGTCGCGCAGTCACTGTGAGATTCGTGCTGCAAATTGTGTCGTGTACTTGTAAGTGTATCAAAGCAGACCGTGACCTCCTGTCGTGCAGCAATGTACAGAGATAATGAAGAACCATTCAATATGCACGAGAACGAGTGCTAATGCTTGTCCAGCACGGATCATGTCACCCAAAATACAAACTCGTGTTGTACGACACACCTTCGTTTCCGGTTGATCATACTGAACAGCAGGTTTCATCGAGACGTCTGTCTCTCCATTACCCGAGCACCACCACCTTCGCGTGACCGCAATACAAGACTTGATACAAACTAAAGAGCGTATGACCGCATCAAATGCGATGGTCGCGGCTGTGCTACCACATTGTGCCGCGGTAGTCCTTCACGTGATCCTACTGTTGTCAGCAGAAATGTCCGGCACTAATACGGGAATGCATAGAACGGGTAGACGAAGGACTGGTCCATCGTAATACGACTGACGCTGTAAAGACAGCGGTCACATGAACAAACGCACATGTGGCTCCAGCAGACAAGACAAGACTAGAGTCATCAAATGCACCAGTGGACACATCATCATGTCTCTTTCTCACTCCCATCCAAGACGACAGCGACGACTTGCGTGTGTTTCGATCCCATCGCATCGATCGATCGATTGAGCTCGGGTTGCTCCATGTTCCTATGGCCACAAACTTGGGATGTCGAGGTAAACCGAACGACCTCGTGAAGAATCAGACGACTCGAGCGCACCATCTATCTGCCTGGAAGGTGCTACCATGCTCAACTCCGCGTCCAAGTCAAGAGGAGCATCCGAAACAGTAGGATGCGAGCAAGGTCATCTCCTCCCTTGTGAGCGACGTGTACTGGATGCTTCCACACACACCCTCGTCGTTGGGTCCACGCGGTCTTGCTGGAAAAACGTGGTACCTTGTAGACAGCAGAGACCATTACTGCCGTGGCCCTTCGAAGCACAAACTCATGAGTTAAGTTCCGTAGACGGTGCGCACCGTACGCCAAGCCGGTCTTCAGATCGAAGCCAAGATGTCACGCCGGTACAGTGCCGTGCCAAGTTCACCATCGAAGGGACACCTTCTGCAATGCCTCACACGGTCATGAGCCTCCTCTTCCTCCTCCTCCTTGTCCCTCACTTTTCAAAGGACCTTCTGATAACGCAGTCTCCACGTTATGAAGTACGTCCGACAACACGTTCACAAGTTGACGCACTGCCGTCGTGTTCGTGGCTATGGCGCCGCCTATACCGTGCCCGTGTTCCTAACCGTAGCAGCCGTCTCGTTGTGGGTCAATGCCACCCTCTTGCACTGGCTCGGACTTGCTCAACTTGTGCTGCTCACGAAACTCGTGCTACTGCTGGCAATGCACGAAGTGCTCCGACCCTTCTGTCTCTCCTTCAGTCACGTCTGCTATGTAGCAGCTCATGTCATTGCAGCCGCGAATGCGGCGATCCTGCAATTCGTCAGACGAGGACTGCAGCCAAAGTTTCCAGAGTGGACACTCTGGTACGAATGGTTCCAAGCCATTGCCTTCGCTGCTGGTCAACAGAATGGCGGCCACATCCTAAAGCTTCAGAACGCCTTGGCTTTCCGGCGCAATTTCGAGCTCATTGGACGAGTATTAGGGATTTGGGCTTGCTGGTATCATCACAAGGAGCTCGAGACCTTCCAATACAATGGCCTCGAACATCTGTGGCTACGCTCGCGATCCAGCTCCAAATCAATGGACAGCAAGAGCCGGATCGTCGTGTTGTATTACCATGGCGGAGGCTACGCACTCTTCAGCCCTCGCTTCTTTGTAGGCTTTGCCTGTCGGCTGCTAACTGGAATCCAGAGCCAGCTGGGAGCTCTTGGTGGACACGCTACCGACTGTGCTACCAAAGACGTGCAGATCTTGCTTGCCAACTACCGGAAGCTGCCCGAAGTCTGCTTCCCTGCACCTCTGAACGACGCCATGATGATGTTCAACTACCTCGTTGACCACGAACATGTTTTGCCTCAAAACATCATCCTAGCTGGAGACAGTGCAGGAGCTGGCCTGGTACTCGCGACGTTACTGAGACTACGACAGGCAGGACGTGAAATGCCTCTCGCAGCTCTGTGCAGCTGTCCGTACGCAGACTTGTCGGCTGACGTGGCTGCGTCCGAGTATTGCTTCATCTCCAAGTCCATGCTCGATGCCATCCGTGACTTGTGCGTTCTGGAGATGCCGTGGTGTTCATGGCGTGAAGGTGCCATGCTACAGGCAGATCTCCGTGGCCTGCCCCCACTCTTTGTTCAGACAGCGGAGTTTGATATTCTACACCAACAGTCGTTGCAACTTGTCAAGAACGCGCAATGTGACGGTGTGGACGTCGAATTGGACGTCCATGAGCACATGCCGCATGTGTTTACGCTCTTCCCTCCCTTCATCCTACCTCAATCATCGGTGGGTATCGAGCGACTCGCAGCTTTTGTCACACGACAGACAACAGCGCAGCGATTACCGGTGCAGTATCCAATGGCTGCTCCACCATTCTGATACTTGGCTTACAGGCCCAGAACGTATTTATACAAACAACAAACTGATTAGTTGTACATTCGATATGCATGTGGGTTGGCATGACAAGTAAAAAGGTTGAGCAATTCCTGACGAAGCGTGCGTAGCATGTGTTGTGCGAAGTATATCAAAGTTGCTCGTCTAAGTGGTGAATGCAGGCTTCAAGCCGCAAGATTGTGCACAACCACATCTTGCATTTACACCGTAACACGATTGTAATGTTATCGACGCAATGTTGCACAATTCTATCGTGACTTTACACCATGACGCGATGGAGTCGCATAATCTACTTGTTCGGGATGATAATCTCGTCTGGATAAGCTGCTCTGCTAGACTTATGGTAGGGACTTTCGAATGGCTTTCACATTTGCTGGATCTCGACGATGTTGAACATGACATTCGTTTCCGAAGTGTTTGTGCCCCCGCAGGTACTTAGCCGAGAAACGATTACAGGCCGATGCAATATGGTAAAGTATGGGGGATTGAATTTGACCTGCGCCTGAGTTGGGGTTTCCCGATCGCATGGTAGCAACAGGGATCTGAAAGTCAACGAGATCGCACAGTTTATCGGCATCTCAATCGACAATACAGCCACAGCTCACTACTTGTGCACGAGGTACCCTAACAAATGCAGTTGATCGTGTGTGCCATACGCGATCTTATGAGATGTATGTATCGATGTTGAATTGCTGAGCTTGAAGCAAGGTCAGGTACACTATATCTAGCAGCTCTTAGCTCACGCTGCAAAAAGCTATCGGGTTCGAGGCTATTGTCGAGATGGATAGGTACTGCATGAGTCACAGGTTGACGAAGTGAACTGTGCATGAATCGACAAAACGAATTTGTTTATGACACGTAGTAAGGATCAATTCGACCTGGTCAAATTGTCGTATAGATAAGGGGAAGTGCATGCAAGCAGAAGCGAGCTCGCTTCTGTCACGCAATCCTGATCAGCTCATTCATGCCTTACTATCACATGCCTTTATAGACGAAGACAGGTAACTCGACGACCTCGTGTACGAGTGATCATTGCTTGTATCATCTCTCCAAAAACCGTAGTGTTCGTTTATTTCTATCGTACGACTCAGGGCTTGAGGTGTCGTCATTGTCAGGAGTTACGCCGTTTTGCATTATCCCTTCATCAGATACGTAAGAGCCGCCAGCAGACGCGTCTTCATATCTCTTAGCCCGCTAGCGACTAACATGTTGTCAACATGAACTTCATTTCGTATACGTGTGCTGGATAGAACTGAACTATGTCGATCATGGGCGTTCTTCCGTATCGCATGAAGTACCTAGCAACGGCGCAACACACTGATGAGAGAAGGGGTAACGCCTACCCAGTACAGTTCAGCCGATGACCTTGCTTGCTGATGATAGCGTCCAGCTTAACAGTATACACATTAGTGTGCTGTAAGTACGTATGTATCAATTAAGCCGGCCTTACCCGTTCATCTGCATGCATATGCTTCTGATGGATCCCTGGTCTTTTAGACTAGTAGTGTGTGGGGACAAACGCAGCTTTGTGCCTTCGCAATGGTAGTGGCGGCATTTACTAGTAGCATTAAGCTTTTTGTTGTTAGATCAGCATGTGGTTAGCGAACAGCAAAGTTCATCGAAGTATTAAACAAGTTGGCACTTTACTGCCCCTGCTCTTCTTACTCAGACATCCAAGAGCTATGCAGGTTTCGACTGGATTGACGACGAAGAAGCTCATACTGCGGTCGCTGCTGCGGCTTCTTCTTCGCCTTGTGCTCGGTTTCCACAGCTTCGTCTTCAACTTTGCGTGGAAAGCAAATAGCGACGCAAGAGGCGAATCCAAGCACGAACAAAATCGAGCCAACACATGCTGCCACCACGATTGGAGGGCCGAAGGAGATAGCGCTCGGGTTGCGAGGAACGATACAACGTGGACCTGTCCACGTCTCACTCAAGCACACACAACGCTTCTTCACGCATCTGCCCGTCAATACAACAGGGACTTCGCTGCTGTCTAAGTGACGGTGTGTTGTTCGGGTGGTGCAATCCAGATCAGTTCGACAAAAGGCTTTGCCATGCACTTCCACGAGCTTGTTCTCTTCATCTTCGTATTCCTCCCGGTGATCAAAGATCCACTGACGCGTCGGGTATGTCTCCGGATCACATCCCAAGCTCATCGTAGAAGTTGGTGATACATCTTGGTACACCCGAATGTAGTCGATCTTCAAGTACATCGGAAGTGCGTCACAAATTTGGTTGGCAACCGGGTCCATTCCATCCCCACGACACGGAAGCTTTGGATTCGGTGGTTGCGCACCCCACTTGCTCGACATCGCTACGTTAAATATGAGGTACAAAGGCTCCTCAATCATGACCTTGGCGGGGTTCTTAACACTCGCTCCTTGCGGAGGATTCGTGACTGCTTGGGCCGGGATTTCATACAGTGGATTCCCTGCCAGCATCCACCGAACATAACCATCCGGGCCTGGGACCCACTCGACTTGGTACTCGACATACTCTGTATACGCTGCCATGTGCACGGGCCAATTGGCGGACAATGCATCAATTTGAAAAGCAAAAGACGATTCGTCCACCCGCGGTTCTTGTCCATCCTCTAACGGTTCACATCTCGGATCCGGGTTACCAGCGCTGCAGATAAACTCGCCCATGTATGAATTTATGGCTGAGAAACACGTCCCATTCAAGTTGATGCCCCATCGATCATCGTTGTTGTCGTTCATAAAGCCTAAATCGGAGTTAATGTCATAAGATGCGGGGCATGTCGTGACCGAGCATGTATTGTCCTCAATTCCAGCGTCCAGAGAGGCATCCACCGTGGCGAACGATTGTTGTTGACTTGCATTTCGCTCACAGAAATTGTTTGCAGCATAGCGCAAGCTTTGGTACCATGACTCATGTCCACGCGATTTGGCATACAAACTCTCTGGCATTCCCGGAACGTTGGCTCCTGGAGTTTGGCAAGAACTTGAATACACGCACAGCTCGTTTTCACCGACCGGTTTGATAATCCGGAACTCGGGCGGCATTCCAGGTCCCACTTGGATCGAAATCGACACGCTTGTACCCCCACCTTCGAGGATATCTATCTCAGGCGCACCACGGCCTTGATGCGGATTCATGCCAGACCCAGGGTCAGCATCACATGCACTTATGCGCTGATTCTTGGGATCAAACGTGTCAGGGTCGCACGCATCGTAAGAGAACGGCCACATTCTGTTCGTTGAGCCGCTGAAGATCGCACGACCGAGGTTTCCCATCATCCAGATTCCAGGCCAAGCGGGGTAGTACCGCAGAGACTGAGCTCGACCACTTGAGTCCAAGCTAATGTCAGGATTGCCAGAAGACTCGGACAACGCTCCTGGGAGTTGTGCCCGGATCTCAACCAACCCGCCTTGCATGCAAAACTTGTTCCAAGACTGGACCATGCCACCGCGATAGAACTACATACGACAACCACCAGAAAAGTTAATCACATTGCTGTCCAGTCAGGACGTCGTTCACAAGGACTGACAAGTACTTACGAAAGTAACATTTTGGAAACCTGGAGTACTTAGAAAGCCGTTCCACACCCGAAGCTGAATCACACTCTCTTCCAATTCGATCTGAAAGCTGCACACACCATGTGACTCATCGCATGCTGTCGTAGTCTTATTGTGGGCGTAAATCTCCATCGCTGCATTGACGCCGTCGGGTTTCTCGATCGAAGTCCACATGTGGTCATCTCCAGGTCGAAATGATCGCCCAGGAGTGTTAAATTCATCACTCATCACTAGCTCCCACGTATCGCCGCGAGACGTCTCCCAAGCATGCACTTCTTGTGGCGTCTCGGGATCGACCCAAATCTTGGAACCAGACTGTGTTGACAATTGATTTTCATTCCAGTGGCTTGGTCGCGTTGCCCAGCAATGATGCACCAGGAGCATGATCGAAATCTCGCACAAGACTTGTATCGTTCTAGACATTACCGCGTGCAACACGAAGCCAGTCGTCGAATGATCAATGACAATACCAACCTTCTTCTCTTGTTGTAAACCTGGGACGTGCACCGATATCATAAGTGCGAGATTTTCCGGGAAAAGGAAATGGTTTCTTGTAACTTGGAGCGTATGAAAGACGTTGATTTTGATGGGCTGATAGTTTGAGATGCACAATCTTTAGGCGTCATACAGCGCACTCTTTGGAGACACGTAGTGTCAAACCTGTGCTGACTTGAACACAAGCAGTATCAACTTCACTCAATTGCTGACCCTTTGCCTTTGCGGCCTGTTCAGTTCTGACCTACTCAAGCCACGTGGTACAAAGCGATCGATCGAGTGGAGAGCCAAGAATCAATCACAATGACATTAGCTTGAAGGTGTAGATTGATAGCACCGCATGAAGCAAGTTGCAGAACGGGTCAAAGCAGTCACGATGACGTATACGTTGGAATTCCACACACATCGTGCGAAATACCATGTCAGATCGTCAGAATTGTAGATGCAGCATGTGAGACACGAAGAATTGATGGGAGGGGCTCATGAAGATGTTACAAGTCATGTGCAGGCGTTGAGAAGGTACATAGTGACTCAGTAAACTTACAAAATACACTGTCTTGTGTTCAAGAGCAAAAAAAGTGCAAACTGTTACGTATGGGTGCATTGCTTGTCCGGGTCTGCTCCAACCTTTGCACTTTTTCACATGTATCACTCGTGGAGATTCGATCGCTGATAGTAATCAGTTCTTGAGGCTTCTTTGTACACGTATCATGCCTTGCTCATATCCTCATTGAAAACAAACACAAGGTTAACATCTGCAGCAGTTGTTTTCAACCCCGGCGGTGTAGTGATGTATCCAATTTCGTAAAATACGGTCACAGCAATCTCAGAAGTGACACGCTTACTTTGTCCGATCTCAACTTGCAGGGTTTGAGAACCATCCTTCTCTCACCACGTAGAGCGTCACCGCTCTTACTGCATTCTTCTTCGTCTTGTTCTTCGATGATGATGATTTCATCGGTATCGGCATCCTTCGCGTAGATGCCAACTTTGGCGCGAGATGCGTGATGGACAGTGTGCTTCTCGCTCAAGCACGTTTTCCCAACCAAACTAGATCTATACCCCAGTAAGGTGTTATACATGGGCACACAACATTGTTTCACTGCTCATTGCGCGTGTCTTCATTTATAAGTGGAAGTATGGATTGATAGAATGGCCTACGTCAGCCGACGAACGAAGTGTTGTTACAGTGCTGCAGAGAATACCGTCAAGAGTAATATCGACGAAGATTGTATCCACATTAGCCGATGACATCCACATTGACATTTAACTAATGCCAATGTTACCCGACGGACTTATCCTGCCACAAAATCAACAAAACGCGTTTTTCTCGTATTGAGAAGCGCAATCATCTCCCAAATTCGATGCTGGTAAAATGATACCTATACGAGCCCGTCTTACTACGGGCGGTGTGGAGAACAGTAGTCATCATTTGTCATCCGTTCTGCGCCTTTTTGTGCAAGGTGAGATTTCGTTAGCGTGCTCGATACGTTACATGGAGGGCAAGTATGTCGTCAAATCGTGCCCGGTTGTCTGATGACATCTTCTACACCTCAAGGCGGATACTGCTGCAGTCTGAAACATTGTGATTATTCGGGGCATCTTAGCTTATGCATGTGGCATTATGGAATAAAACGGGCTACGCGCTTACTATGCACATGGGGAGTCACTACTACAATGGCTTGACCGCCACAGTACTCGCGTTGTGATTGTATGTGCCAGCTATATAGCATGTCTTCTAGCTTTTGCTGGTTTTCGTGCGCACCCGTTCATGCAGCAAGTTGTAAAGGAGCGAGTATGCAGCAGAAGCACAAGGTGCCATCGGTCGTCCACTCATGGCTGATACAATATCGTATGTTTAATCAAAGGTCCTACGTGTAAAACGTACAGGTACGCCGGACAAGGCACGTACAGGTCAAGTGCACCCGCACCAGATTGGCGGGACATGGTAAAAGTACTGGGATAGGCTGATGCAACAACTAGTCGACAAGAGGAACAGGATGATGAGCGGGAAACAGATGATGGAGAGCCAGAGGTGCTCTCTCGCGCATGCATGTCATTTGACTTTGACAACGACTATGTACAAAATGGTTTCTACTGCTGCCTACTTCCAGGAAAGTGCGTTGCTCCCTTCTTACCACTTCGTACAAATTCTCACACGACCTCGGTCACAAGACGATCGCAGTTTATCGAACTCGCAACCTACTCATAGTAGCCATGCATCGTTCTCATAGAAAGCTCTGTCGAAGTAAAGTGTACGACCAACTGCACGAGGGTCATAGTCTACACTGAAGCATTGCGCTTTTTTCTGCGCTGTACGATTGGTGTTGCTACATTAGGAGAACTACAAAAGTACCACTAAAGAGTCCAGTTTGATGCAAACACAGTTTAGATCCTGCTTTCTACAATAAGCACGTATACCAACCATAACGAGCTTGAATACCGGTGTCGATTACGGGAAATAGCACCTTAACGCATCAGATGCCAGCTGTTACACCAAACAGCCACGGACTGGCCTCCCGGATGAAAACTCGAACCACATGTTGATACCTTTCTCGGAAAGAAACTGTACGTTCGCGAACACGTCAGTCAAGTGCTTTGTGAAGCCGCTGCATATCTCCAGCGGTCCCGACGAGCCCGTCGTACACTTTCGTTAAGTATCCAATTTCGTGAAATACGGTCACAGCAATCTCAGAAGTGACACGCTTACTTTGTCCGATCTCAACTTGCAGGGTTTGAGAGCCATCCTTCTCTCACCAGGTAGAGCGTCACCGCTCTTACTGCATTCTTCTTTGTCTTGTTCTTCGATGATGATGGTATCATCAGTATCGGCATCCTTCGCGTAGACGTCAACTTTGGCGCGAGATGCGTGGTGGCCAGTGTGTTTCTCGTTTAAGCACGTTTTCCCAACCAAACTAAATCTACACCCCAGTAAGGTGTTATACGTGGGCAAAGAACATTGCTCCACTACTCATTGCGCGTGTCTTCATTTATAAGGGGAAGTATGGACTGTTAGAATGGCCTATGTTAGCCGACGAACGAAGTGTTGTTACAGTGCTGGAGAGAATACCATGAAGAGTAATATCGACGAAGATCGTATCCACGTTAGCAGATGTTATCGACATTGACATCTAACTAATGTCAATGTTACCCGACGGACTCGTCCCATTACAAATTCAACAAAACGCGTTTTCCTCGTATTATGAAGCGCAATCATCTCCCAAATTCGATGCTGGTAAAATGATACCTATACGAGACCGTCTTACTATGGGCGGTGTGGAGAACAGTAGTCATCATTTGTCATCCGTTCTGCGCCTTTTTGTACAAGGTGAGATTTCGTTAGCGTGCTCAATACGTTACATGGAGGGCAAGTATGTCGTCAAATCGTGCCCGGTTGTCTGATGACATCTTCTACACCTCAAGGCGGATACTGCTGCAGTCTGAAACATTGTGATTATTCGGGGCGTCTTAGCTTATGCATGTGGCATTATGGAATAAAACGGGCTACGCGCTTACTATGCACATGGGAAGTCACTACAAGGGCTTGACCGCCACAGTACTCGCGTAGTGATTGAATGTGCCAGCTATAGAGTATGTCTTCTAGCTCTTGCTCCTTTTCGTGCGCACCTATTCATGCAGCAAGTTGTAAAGGAGCGAGTATGCAGCAGAAGCACAAGATGCCATCGGTCAGTCCACTCATGGCTGATACAATATCGTATGTTTAATCAAAGGTCCTACGTGTAAAACGTACAGGTACGCCGGACAAGGCACGTACAGGTCAAGTGCACCCGCACCAGATTGGCGGGACATGGTAAAGGTACTGGGATAGGCTCGTGCAACAACTAGTCGACAAGAGGAACAGGATGATGAGCGGGAAACAGATGATGGAGAGCCAGAGGTGCTCTCTCGCGCATGCATGTCATTTGACTTTGACAGCGACTATGTACAAAATGGTTTCTACTGCTACCTACTTCCAGGAAAGTGCGTTGCTCCCTTCTTACCACTTCGTGCAAATTCTCACACGACCTCGGTCACAAGACGAACGCAGTTTATCGAACTCGCAACCTACTCATAGTAGCCATGCATCGTTCTCATAGAAAGCTCTGTCGAAGTAAAGTGTACGACCAACTGCACGAGGGTCATAGTCTACACTGAAGCATTGCGCTTTTTCTGCGCTGTACGATTGGTGTTGCTACATTAGGGGAACTACAAAAGTACCACTAAAGAGTCCAGTTTGATGCAAACACAGTTTAGATCCTGCTTTCTACAATAAGCACGTATACCAACCATAACGAGCTTGAATACCGGTGTCGATTACGGGAAATAGCACCTTAACGCATCAGATGCCAGCTGTTACACCAAACAGCCACGGACTGGCCTCCCGGATGAAAACTCGAACCACATGTTGATACCTTTCTCGGAAAGAAACTGTACGTTCGCGAACACGTCAGTCAAGTGCTTTGTGAAGCCGCTGCATATCTCCAGCGGTCCCGACGAGCCCGTCGTACACTTTCGTTACCAAAGAGGATCGGTAAATAAAGTGGCCACATGCAATAGAGTAGGTAGGTGGGGTGTGTGTTCAGACGTTAGATGATGTCCATCTACCCGTCATGACATCTGCAACGTCTGAGCGCTCACAATCACTGCATCATTATCTGCATGCAATCAATCGTGGAAAAGCTGGCAGGTTCGACCACCTCTCTGGTAGCAAGTGCTAAGGATAAATATTCCGGCACTGGCTATTACATTGCCAGCGTCAGCCCAGAGGATTCGTGTACAGCTAGAGATGCGCTCGAGGAATTGCAGGGACGCAAACGGTGCAGTCCCGTCAAGCCATCAACGTCTAGCTCCCTTCGCAGAGGTCCCAAGAGAAGTTCTCGTCCCTGCCAACGACCGGCTCAGCTGCATTCTTCAACACTCGTGGCTGCTTTGCCAACGATTTTCGGCCCAGGAGTAACACAAGGACCACATCAATCCGGAACCAGTCATGTGGAAGCTCGTACTCTCGGTCCTCCTCGCTTCGCTCGCTCAGGCTCAAATTCGTCCTGGGGATGAGACGTGCGTCATGCATGACTCGACTTCTTGTGCGGTCGACAACCTCACTGCGTCCGCACTTGACCGCAGTATCATCATCTACCCTGGGGGCGACACGCGCTGTGCCTTTGATGACTTTTCCAGCCCCGACGTGGCGTTTTCGACGAATTCGACCTACTTTTTCCAAGTCTTCCCTGCTCCGAACCAGAGCAAGTCGAAGCTGATGCTGTATTTTCAGGGGGGCGGTGCCTGTATCGACGACATCACCTGTGCCTTTGGTCTCCAGTGTGCACAACAGACGTTCAACCCGAATGCCGCGGCTCTAAGTACCGGTGTGTTAAACCGCTCGGACGACCAGAACCTGTTTAACGACTACACTATCGTGCACCTGCCGTATTGTACTGGTGACCTCCACATTGGTCGTCGAGTCAACACTATCGTCGATAGTCCGCTGTACCTGCTGCTCAATCAGCCGGAATGCCAGAACCAGAACATGACTTTGCACCAGGTTGGCTACAATAACACCAAAGCTGTGCTCGAATGGACCATGGCGAACTACCCGAACCCAGATGAGATCATCATTGGTGGCTCCAGTGCTGGATCGCTCGGTGCTCAGGCTCTCAGTGCTCTTGTAGCTCATATGTGGCAGGTCGAGGCGAAGAACACTCGATTCTCGGTGCTTGCTGATAGCTACGTCGGGGTGCTGCCCAGTGATTATAGTGCTGGCAAACTCATTTCGTACTACGGCTCATGCGAGCTGGACTTGAAGATGCCGGCCAAGCTGTGGGACCAGTGTGATGACAACGAGCTGACCGTAGCAGAAATGATGTCCTTCATGATTGAGGACTTGCCAACTGCTCAGTGGCTGTTTATCAGCAGCAAGGGCGACGTGATCCAGCGCACCTTTTACGAGCTGGTGGACGAAGGCGTTCTCGCGTTCCCGTTTGCTCGTCTCATCAGTGAAGAAGACTTCTTCTCGGTACGTTGGTTGGTACATCATATGTAGCAGCGGTCATCTTTTCTGCAGCGAACGTGCGTCCTGATTGTTGACACTGTACACCCTTCTTGCTGCAGGAAACGACAGCCATTATCGACGTGTACAAGAACGTTAGCGACGAGGTCTCGACGTTTTATGTGGACGGCACTCATCACGTGTTCCTCACTGAGAACAACTACTATCGTAACGCTACCCGCAGCCCCGGAGGTATGCTGCTGGGCGATTTCTTGAAGGCTTGGCTGGCGACCAACTCGTCACTTGACGGCTCTGCTTCGGTCGGGATGCTACCCGCTAGCGACAGCGATACCGACTCGGATGAGTCGGCAGCCGTAAGCTTCAACAGTATGCTGCCAACCGTAGTAGTGGTTGCAATCATCTTGATGCTCGTGGCATAACCTCGAGTTACAATAGCATCAGGATGTAAAGAGAATGAGATCCAAGCTTGCATTCAGCCAGTTGCTCTCATAGCTTGATTTGACGATAGTGTGGACCGCGGCCATTGCTGTGCTATGGAACGACAAGACACTCGCTTGCTCACAAACACTGGTTATGAAACATTAAGCCATTCAAAGCTTGTTGTTACATTACCCCAGCGTCACTTGACCGAGCAACTACGAGGCATAATAATAGTGCGTGGCTATGTGCACAAAGTTGATCCGAGCACCGAATACTGCGTGCAGCACCAACGTGGATATGAAGAGTGCAGTGATTATGATAAGCGGCAGCAACAGTTGCTCTGTCCGGTGAAGGAACGGCAAGGCTGAAAACAGGACATGCAGCTTAGTCAGCATTCGTCACTCGATCAAACAAAGATTGCTGCAGCCCAACGCACCCATGTAGCCCAGGAACGTGATATACGTGTAGAATCCCCAAGCGAGTGAATAGAGGAGGTTTCCAACCAGCAGTACCACGAACGAGTCGGACGTGAGCAACGGCACGAGCAAGAACTACTCTCACGAACAACAAAGTAGACACAACATCGTCAGTCTTGTCAACCCTTCTGTCTGCCATCTTACCATGCAACTTTTCTTTGGGTACCTGCAGCACGTAGAGAAAGAGGAACAGAATGAAGAACGAGTTGCAATGAATATCAAAGGCAAACTGCCACTCGACGCGCTGTTCGACAAACAGAGCGTCGCTCATGCCACGGCTGCATTGTTCACCACAGAGGAAAAAACACCACAAACAATTTAACACATTAGTAACGACACCCACGTACACCAGCAGCCAACTCCATCAGTACATTGTAACTGAATCCAACTTTCCAGCTCCAACCCCTTACTTGTGCTTCTGACGTAAATTGTAATTGGCCAGCCGCCAGCCCAACGTGGCAATCACGAGTCCATAGCCGAGCCATTCAACCAGCACAGCATGAAGTAGCAGCATGGCGCACTTGGCTGCACTGTCCACACGAAATGCAATAGCCCAAGCCACTGTCGCTACGAGCAGGAACCCCACTTGAATGACAGCAAAAGCCGGATCGTCTCGTGCCCAGCGGTTCTTCGTCTGTTTCCGATAGTAGGCGCTCTTATAGACCTTCGAAGGCTGCACACAGAGCGTCACGAGCTGGTAGAAAGCTGCGTCCAAGTCCATTTGGCGGCAGTCCACCACTCGCGTAAAGTATTCGGGAACCACGGAACACGAGCGGAACACGTCCCTTTTCTGCTGCTGCTGCTGCTTCTTCTTGGTATCAGAGTCACCAGAGCTTTGGCTGGAGGAGGTGGAGGAGGCGACCGCGCTCTTCATGTCGATGCAGGCGCTCGGGGGCTCCATGAGTGGCGCAAAAGGCGGTGGAAGGTGATGACGATGACGAGGTTGATGAGGATGACGATGAGGATGGAGGGAGGGCAGCTGTTGGTTGATTCAGGTAAGTACGAACACTTGCTGACGTGGGGTGAAAAGAGCGAAAAAACAGGATAGTGGGGACGGATAGCGTTGCGCTCGCTTGATGTGGTGCAAAAGTGTTTTTGTAATGTGATGCTTACAGTGGCACCGGTAGAAGACTCTGCGTTGATAGGGTACAACAGGTGCAGCTTACAGCTTCTGTCGCAACAACTCTGGTATGATCAACGTTTAGTTACCTCATTGGTGTTTGCGCAAGGTCCGAAGTCACACAGCGCCAACAATGAGCAACAATTGGAAGCGTGGAAGTGAAAACGTCAAGGTCTGCCAACCGCGCAGAAATCTGTGCATGTGACACAGCACAAGAGCCGATCGAGTTCACAATGCACGATCCATTTTGCTTCTTGTGTGTCCATCGAATGGACCGCTTAACGGTACCTTTCCATGATCCACTGTCAAAGATTGATCCTCGTGTGATTGTTGGAACAGCGAATGATCCACAAGTGCGTAAATTCGCTAACTCGAAGCTGTGTATCGCTGCTCTCATAACTTGCACTGCATGAACGACCACGCGCACCCTACAGCGACATAAAACTGCTTCACTGCACTGATTGTCCACGCGCAAGAAAGGGAGAACCAAAACCTTAGCCCGAAGCATCTTTTCGATGCTCGGCGTGGGTGCATCCGATTTGAATAGACGAGATCATGTAAGCATACACTCACCCCGAGTGGTCATTTACTGACACCAAAGTTGCAGAGCTTGCAATCTGTACCGATTGATGGCACCGCCCGAGCTTTTATATAGATCTGCAACCTTTAGAGCCAAATGCCGCCATCCTCGTCTTCTTCGAGTTCCTCCTCGTCCATCTCGAAAGACTGTTCCAGAGAACTGTGCTCCGAGCTCGTTGGTGTATGATGCAAAGAGTCCTCGGCATTCACATACGAAGTATGATGTATCGATGCGTGTCGAGTAGACCCATTCTTGGCGCGACAGTGTTGCTCTGCGTGTCCGTAGAAGACCTTGTAAAGCGATGACCGAAGTTGGCTCATCGCTCTAGAGTCTTTGATACTTTTGCTGCTGCCAGGGTTTGTAACCTTGGACGTATCCTGACTTGGCAGTCCGCTGTGAAAAGAAGGAGACCGCTGCCGCTCCATCTCAAGTTCTTCCCGCAGACGCTCAAGTTGGCTCTGTGCCCCTGCAAACTCTCGTGCTTTCTGCTCCTCCAATCTCATCGACAGCTGCTTTGAACGCTCCTCGGCAAGCCGTAGACTCTTTTCCATTTCCTCCACCGCAGCTTGCAGCTTGATTGATTCTTGCTTGGCTGCTTCCAATTCAGCCTGTAGTTGGGCCTGTTTTTTGTACGTTGTTAAGTCGCTTGTCAGAGGCTCAAACTTGCGGAAATGGTCAATCTGCGGGAGCCCAATACGCTCATGTAACTCGTTGATAAGCCCAATCTTTTGCACTTCCCGTGGCGAGCTGCCGGAAGTCTGCGCATTGTTGTGACACTCGTAACTTTTCCTCATCTCGTCCTCTTCTTCAGAGCTCGACCCCGTGATGTTGCTGAATTCGATATGGCTGTCTTCCCCATCATCGTACGAGTAGCTCCCACTCTCTTCCGTCACGTCACTCCATCCTCCACACCTCTTCCTCATATCCCGAGACACGCGCGCATTTCTGTCCGCTTCCTGTCTCGCTTTAGTCTCCGCTGCTTTACGTGCCCGTCGCGCCTTCACGGCTTCAATCATACGACACCGGACTTTTGTCAGCAGTGCCAACTGGTTCAGCTTCTTCTTCATCTTGAGGTTACTCTCCTGCATTTTTGACACGAGTTTCTGCTTTTCGGAAAGCGACCTGGTGCGATTCCGCTGTGACTGCTGATACGCTGCTGCCAGCGCTTCTTGACTCGAATCCTTTGCCAAGACATCGTTCGTCCACTCGGACAGCGCTTCAGCACGTTGCAAGAGATCCAGAGCTTTAGCTTTCACTACCGTCTGTAGATACGGCACGGCCTGTCGTCTGCCCAGCTCAATGAGGATCTGTCCCGCTCGAATATAAGCGTCAATTGCTGCATGTGGCATCTGTCTGCGCTCCTTGTCCATAGCATATTGAGCCACTTTCACCGCTTCTTCGTACTCCGGACCGACTAACTCAGTCGCTCCATCCTGCAGCCCTTTATCCGGTACTTTAACCAGTTCCAGAGCTCCTTGACGTGCCCCCGACTGCGTAAAATCCGGCATGTTATCCAACGAGCTAGGGGTACGCGGAAACAGCAGGTACCCATCATTGGAGGGTACGGAAGAATAGCAGCGAATAGGTCCGTACTCATCTTGGTTACACTTTACTGGGGTGGGAAGTTTGGTCGGAATGGAGCGAAATCCACTTGCGGAGGACGAAAACGAGTCAGTAGCTGAACGGGAAGAGACAGGGGCAGAAGAGGGAGCGGGAACCGACGTTGACGGGCGCTTGTTGGCGCGTAGAGCGCGCAGTCGCGCCTCCAAGTCCAGTCTCCCGGCCATACTATTGCGAAATGTGGGTTGACTCACGAAGATGGCGAAAAGCGGGGGGGTACACTTTGGGTTACGCTTTGACGGCGACGAGGTGTGTACTGTCGCTATGACCTTTTTATGAGGGAATGAAACGGATTTGCTGGGTTCAGCGCAGATGGCGGCCGGCGGTGGCCGGAAAAATCAATCGAAATTCGTGGAATCGCGCGGGTCGAGTCCTCTCGTTTGTTATTATCACCGGATGACAGACCTCTATATGGAATCAAGCTGGAAACAAATGTAGATGGACGGACACGAATGCAGACCGTGACAAAAGGTGCCCTGCCGTGAGAACGGACGCTGCTGACAAGTTCGTGCAGTGGGACGGACTGTGTGTGAGCAACTGCACTCTGATTTATATCACGTCCAAACGCGAGGTCGGGTTGTCGCCCATGTCGAATGCTTTCGAGTCAATTTCACGAGAGCCAGAACTAGCTTCAACAACAGGTTGCAGTACTGGTGATTGTGGTAGAAAACCTCTTGCCAGAAACTGTAGGCGAGCTCTTAGCGTTCGTACTCGGCTTGGCACCTTTTCGAAGCAGCTGGCTCCATGGTGAAGTCGATCGTAGATGTTGTCAGGTTGTGTCGTCATGACAGGACCAGTCCATGAGGAATTCCCAGGAAGAACGGACAAAGCAATCGATCAATCGAGTCGCTTGTCATCGTTTTTCACGACTTGAGCGAGATTGATTGCACTTAAAGTATGCCATCAAGCCTTCCGATCGTAGCATGACTGCGTCATTTGCTTTATCAATCCTTATTCAGCCACTTGTAACTTGTCAAGGCAACACATGTTACGTCACGAAACCGTCCCCGATCCTGCTGTTCACACTACACCCTTAAATGTCTAGTGATGTGATAGAAGACCAAGCGGATACGTACTGATGATCATCGAGACCCACCCCTTGCAGCGCCACGCAGTTCGTTCCACTCCGTCACGCCTTGTCCAAGTCGGTTCTTTGAGTTGTGATGCCGTCAGCTACACGTGCTCCCAAGGTCGTGATCAGATCCTGTACGCTCACACGTAGCTTTACCGTCTCTGCGCCTCCACCAAGCCACAGAAAGGCTGGTTTCAGGGCTGCAACCTCACCTGCTACGATCACCTGTAGGAACGAGACCGAATCGCACCGTCAAACCAGTTTAGAAATTGCAATGGAAAACTCAGTGACCTACATACCGGGATAGACGTCTGCATACCAAAGGTGGATACTCCGTTGTGTTTGAATCCAGTCAGTTGCTCCGACACCTGTTCATCAAGCCAGTAGTCAAACCACAACATCTTTTCACACACAAGCTGCAGCAGTCTTACTTGTGCCGGGGCATGCTGAAAGTTGAACTTCTTTCGAGATGGGCGATCAGCCTCAGGGATGTCGTCACGCACAAAGCGTCGCAGCTGCTCTGCATCAAGCTTGGAGATGTACTGCAGGACCACGCAGTAGTAGCTACAATAACAGCAGCAACGAGATGAAGTTGACGACAATTATTGCAGTAACCATAAACCAGCACCACCACTTATTTTTCAGCCTTTTTGCTTCTCCTTACCGACTGTTGAGCGGATCTTCGATGCCCTTGTTGACACACGCCACGTTTTCGACAACGATGCTCTTGCAGAGGTGTGAAATCCCGCAGCCCAAGAACTTCCTATAGCCCCACAATACAATTACGTCACTAAGTATACAATAACTATTGTCACAATACATTGTCAAGCCTTACGCTCTCTGGCTCAGAGTCCACGAGTAGTAGTCACTCGGCGCCGTCTTAAGCGCGCTGCTGGTCAACCTTTCACGCTGAAGATGCTGTTTCACGTGCTTCACTCCCTCCAAGTCATCCAGCAAGCGCTCCAGCGAGTCAAGGCGTCTATGAGCAGCAGCAACACGCGCCGTCACGTCGTCAATGGTCGTCATGCGTCGGAGCTGCTGCTGAGACTTTGGGACCGTTTTTGTGCATTTCTTGTAACGCTAGTACTTGGAAAGGTATACGCTATTTTGGGCATCCGGTAAGAAGACCTGGAGGTTGAGAGCCCAATCTAGAAAATCAGTGCAGACTGGTAGCCAAAATGTCCGAGAAAAAGAGACCCATGAACGACCATGTGTCTCGTCATCGGGACAAGTCGTTGAAGCTCCCACTTTCTCAATGGTACCTTCTGCGCACATCCACGCGACAACTGTAAGATCGATGGTTGTTGGTTGGTTCGTCTATTTACACGGAGTTTACCATGTGCAAGATCTTTGGTCAATGTTGAGCCAGGAGATCAGTGCTGGAGGACCCAAGGGCTGATCGTGGCTGGTTCCAGTAATAGCTGGTGACCCTATAAGTTCGTGCTCCAGTAACTCAAGGCATGCATCCAGCAGTGTTTCCTATTTGCTTGCAGGTGACAGATGCAGGAAGCCCAAACACTTTGTGGCGATTTTTGCTTCCTGGCAGACCACTGCATTCCTGTGTCCGCCCAGATTGTGGTTTGGCATCGTGCTAAAAGAATGTGCCGAATTCTCTTCCAAACGGGTTTGGCCGCTTCCCCGTCATCCAGAAACCGCACCGCGAGGATGACCTTCGGTAAGTGAGTATACAGTGCACTCGTTGGCTGGTACACGCCGTGAAGAATTGTTCTGATCGCTGACGAGTGGCTCGTTCTCCCGTCCACTGTTCTGACCAGGTTATCCCAGAGTGCTAAGGCGCTTGCGCAGTCCCGAAACAAGTGAGCCATGATCTCCACGCCGCCCCGACAAGCTCGTTGTTTTCGGCAGCTATTGTTTACGATCCGCCCAGCATGATATAGTCCTCCCTCTGACAACTTTTTCCAGATAACTGATAACCTCCGCCACCTCACAGGATTGGACATCCACCGTGGTTGTTCTACGATCGTTAACTTGAAACTTACAAGTAATAGCCGAGAAGCTACACGTACGTGTGTAGAAGGAGAACTTGTACCAAATATGGGGTAATAATCCTGATCAAGCCAAGCATCGAGAGTGGCATATGTGGTGATGTCACTTCGAATGTAAGGCTGCGGAGTAGCTTGTACGAAGGACGGTGGGTTTCTTGCTACAAATTATGCAAGGTACCGCTACATAAGATGGTGATCTTCTCAGACTTGGTCTATCTGCCTGCAACTACCCCCTCGTCTGCTGCAGCTCCTTCTTTATCTTCCTTCTCTTTCTGCACTGCTTGCAGAATCACTTGGCAATCGAGATCTGGCTGCGCACTTTCGTCGTCTCCGATAAAATTGAGAAGCTCATCAATGGAGAGTCGGCCAAAAAATACACACACCTTGTTCCTTGAAAGAGCATCAACCCCAGCAAACGACCAGGTTGGCTTCATGTCTCTGACTTTGAGGAACAACCTGAACCATGTCTAGCACGAAAGGTGAGGACCTGTGTTGGTTGTCTCTGGGGATCTTTTACTATTGGGAGTTCGGGGAGTTTGGTTTTGAGGGTGGAAATGGAGTTGGTTGTTCCGGTGCAGGTTTGCGCTAAATTGTCCTTTAATTATTGATGTTTACCACAGTATGTGCATGGAGCCGCTTGAATCCAGTAACTAATAACCTCTGATAACGTGTACGAAAGAATGTTCACCGAGACTAAAAGTTAGCAAAGGGAAGATTGCACAAGTGAAGTTACTGAGTCGCGACCCGATCTCCCATCCACCAAAATGATGGTATCTGTGGGGTTTGAACCCACGCAGACTGGAATGTCTAGCGGATCTTAAGTCCGCCCCCTTAGACCACTCGGGCAAGATACCGTACGAGTCTGAAGCCTCGATGTAATATATATATATATAGCACATGTTGTGCTTCCTCGCGTAAGTACGAATAGCGCATCAGAAAAGACTTGGTGTTGTAGAATGGTCCAGACCGCCGATGTATCTCCATCTTGACATCGACCAGAGAACCAGCAGCTACTCGTAAAAGGTTATTGAGATCCTACATATAACGTCTCTTTCCGACAAAAGTGTGAAACGCAGGTCTCACGTAGCAACAAAACACAAGCGCCTCACCGCGTTCAACTAAACGCTGGCGGGTATACATCATGTTTGGCTGAAGAAGAGCACGGAAAAAAAGAGTAGATCCCACTGCAGCGTGAGCATCAACTCGCTACTTCACAACCACATCTTGCTAATCGCCATGATGTGGAGTGAGCAGTCATAATAAGAACCGAAACGTCGGGCTGTATGTATTCCTGCTTATATGTCGACCCGACGATGTCGTAAGGCTTGGCCTGCCATAGGAAGCAAGTGTTTCTTGTCATCAGGCACGGCTTCATCGAACGCATTGACGCCAGACTCGGTGAGCTACGATCCATGTATAGCTGAGGATTACATTGCGATAGAAAAACAAAGTGTCACTGACGCTAAGACACGTGAAGACAATCACATGTGAAATGAACGATATTAGCAAGTTGCGGCTGTAAGCAGGGAACGCACGAGTGCAAGCATCGCGACGATCGAACCCACCTCCACGACACGTCTAGACTCTGAATCTTTTTCCAACGTTTTTGTATGCGAATTACTCTGCAGTGGCATCACCCTGGAGGCACAGACGGGAAGCGCCGGAGCCTCCGAAGTAGGTGAATGCCCGGTCGTCAAATAATCACTTGGTCCGAGCCAGTTCCTCTACAAATTGGCCCAGCTCCTCCTGCACGCGCTTCCTACTCACACTATTGTCGTTCGGCATCTCAAGCCACTTGCTGAAGGCAAGAGGGACCACTGCGCCTTCCTTCACCAAGTGTTTGAGCAGCTTCTTAACGACGTCTGTTTCAAAAAGCAACAAACAAGTCAGGCGTCAATACTGCACACTACACATCGATACACAAGCACTCATCGTACCGTTGTCACTTCGCGTCTGGAAAATGGCCGACACGAGTCGAGCTTGGGTGTCAGGGCTGCCGCAGAAGCCCGTGAGGAGCATGCATCTCTCAGCCGACAGCTGCTCATCCTCCTTTGACAGGTTCAGAATAAACAGGCACGTGTACGTCGCGAAAAACGGATCGTTGAGAAGGGTGTCAGGAATGTTATTTTCAATGAAGGAAACAACCTCGTCGTATGAAGAGGCGTTCTTCACGTGGCTCACAAGACCGAAAGCAGGCTCCAGCGAAAATACGGCCTCGAGATCGTACTTGCTGATCCACTCCTGCATATCGTTCGCGGACTGCTTGTGGGATGGAAATACACTCAGAACAGTAACATTCGTCGCACGAATCTCCTTCGTCGCCTTTCCAACATCAGTGCTCTTCAACAGTTTCAATATCTCCCCCAGTAGAGCAGCCAAAAAGCCTCCATCGATCAGTTCTTCCATTGCAGCTTTATCCACTGACTGAAGACATTTGCCCAGAACCCAGTCCAATGAAACGCTGGTGAGCGACGAATTCTTCATAAATCGTATCACAAAGTCAGCCATTTGTTCGTGCAGCTTCGGTACATCACACCAAAGATCGCCGCATATCGCAACCATTCTCTCAATGGCGTAGCGGATACCAACAAAAGTGAGGCTCTTTGTTTCCAGGCTCAGCTTTTCCAGCAGATCAACCATTTTCGCACGCAGTTCTGCCTTGGCGTCAATAGCCCCCTTTAAAATCTCGAAAGCGAACACACGGTTCACATCTTCGTGGTTCGTGTGTTTCTTCTGAATCTCTACAAGACACAGGTCAGCCTCTTTTAAGTCAGAGATCAAGGCATACTCCTCCGCGATCGACTTGGCCTTCTTGCCAATGCTCCCTCGGATTTCATCGTCAAGCGGGGCGATCACCTTTGTGTGAGTTGGTGACTGCGGTTTCTTTACAACAGCTGCAGCTGGTCCACGACGACTACCAGAGAAGCTTGCAGGAGACGCATTGTTGCCACGTCCACCCTGTCGAGCGCTCATGCCAAAATGAGCGGGCCTTCCGGATGGCCCCGTCTGAACGGAATCATCACGAGCTCCAATGCCGCGTATAAACGTCATTTGCTGGTTGTTGCTGCCACGGCTGTTCATTGACTGAGAATGTTGATACACAGGCGCCATTGTAGAACGGCTGTTGTTATATCCTTCGCGAGGCGCGTTTGCTCGACGGTCCGAACGAAACTGATCGCGATCTCCTCGACCACGGCCACCTCCGCTTGGCGCACTGCTCGGGGGTGCACGAGCTTCTCGTTCTGCCTCCTTTCGGATTTCCGTCAAAGTCTTTTGCTTCAGCTCCTTACGCCGCGGTTCCCATTTGTGCTGGCGTAATTCAATGACGTCCTTGATCATAAAGGTGATACGAGACGATAAGCGCTTGTCCTTCACCAACTTGCTTTCCAAATAACGGAAGTACGACGGCATACCGCCTTGCGCACCATGCTTGTCCAAGTCTTTCCCCATCGTAGTTAGCAACTTGGCCAGTGACTCAATGCTCTCCTCATCTGGAGGATCGTTTGGGTGCACACATGTCAGCACGCCATCACTATTTAAACGAACGTCCATCAACTTCATGATACATTCGTGCATGATGCGCTCCTGTAACATCCCCTTTCGATACAGCTCACCGATGAAGCGAATGTTACCAAGCATGCGCAACTTCATTATCAATCGCTTTTCCTCGTAATCGGTCGCCATCTGTGGCGTGATTTTGCCCTCTTCCTTGTCCCGCCTAAACTTTTGCTCCAATTCTTCGTATATGTTGTCCTTCTCGAACTCTTCTTGACAGGCATTTAGCAAAATACGTCTGAATGAACATGACTTCAGGGCGACGCGACTCGCCTGCTCATGGCTTTCGAAAGGACCATTCAACACCTGGTCATCTCCCAAATCGTCCAAATCTTGGCCCGACCAGTAATACTGAGGCTTAGTCGGGTCTTCGTGCACCCACACCTTCACAAATTTATGGTGGCGGACACGAACTTCGCTTAGCTTCATGTTGGAAGGAGCAGGAACAGGCTCGAACTCGTCGCTGCTTGCCGACTCTAGCGCACCGCTGACCGTGTCGAAAGGTCCAACAACTTCCGAGTCTGAATCCGACATTGCTGTCCAGTAAAATGTTTTGTCGTCGTCGTTCTGAACGATTTTCAAGAACGACCACACCTTCCAATTCGTCTCAAGATGCACGCACAAGTCGGCGTACATATCGCAAAAGTGCGGCTCGCCAACCGCCTTGTCGAAAATAATTTTGATGACGGCTTGCAGCATCTCCAGACTTTCCATGTTAATGCTAGTCAGTTGTCCCGCCAGGCGCTCAAATTTCTCGCGAGTCATCTTGTTCATAATACCGTTCACGTTCTTCTTTGTCACTTCTAAAGTTGAAGTGTTCTTGGTCGGAATCCATCGATTCGCTGACCGTGTCAGCGGCTTAACAGGTCCATCCAAAAGAGGTAGGTCTGGGGTGGCTCCCCGTTCGCCACGGCCACCATGCTCAGCCCGACCAGTTCGCTTAGGCAAGTCCTGTGATCGGGCCCATTGACCGCCACCCGAGCTGCTACGTGCTCCAAGTCGTCCAGATCCGCCAGCTAGTTTATCACCACGTTCCCAACCAGCTCCACCGCGTCCACCGCGGGAACCGCCACGTGACACAGCAGCTTCGCTAAAAATCTCCATCGACGGCCAGTCAGAATCTGTCGTAGTAGCTGGTAGGTCTTTGTATTGCTCGCGAAAACTACATCATTCACACACAAACGAAACGTGAGCACTCCATGTGCAAACTCAAGTACTTTCGCACGATGCAGTACCTTGTCATAAGCTCCAGCGAGTATGTGGATTTACCACCTGAGTTTGCTGGTGAACCCACGCCCACTGCTGTTGCTTGTCCAATTGTGCTGGCTGATGTCATTTCTCTAACGTTAGTCACATTGTCATTCTCCTTCCCTGGTAGAGCCTCCTGTTGCAGCGTTGGTGTTCCAACGTCCTGACTGGAACCTTTCTCGTTCGAAGGCACTGACTCGGGCTGCTTAGCGGTAAACGTTTCCTCAGCTGGGTCCTTGGCGGACTGCATCTGTCGTTTTGGTGACGACATCTTTGTACTGGCCGAAGTGATTGTTGTAGTAGTTTGCCGTGTCGTGAAAGACGTGCTTTCGCTCGTTTTGAATCCAGACATCTCGACTGCAGCCTTGCCGACTGACTCCGTCTCTTTTACACCGTTTGTTCCTCGAGTCGGCTCCAACCCCTTGGCAGGATGCGATGCTGGTTCTGGGTCTCTACTCGCACTCTTACTGACTAAGGATTCCTCTGGCGATTTTGTCACAGAGGTTGCTGCTCCATCCTGCTTTGCATCCGCCGTTGACACATTCGGAGCAGGTGAGGTAACAGGAAGTTCCTCAACAGATGTCGATTTCTTCTCCTGTGATTTCTTCTGCTCCCCAGCGTCCACATGGATGTCTTTCGCTGTTGTTGCTGAGCTGATACTACTGGTTCGTCCCACGGACGAGTTGCTGTTGACAGTGATAGCTAACCCTGTATAAGGGTCAATAATATCGAGCCTCTTGGACTCGCGCTTCGGCGGACTTGGCACCGGCATAGGCATTCCTGCCATGCCCATTGGCATGGCCTGCATCGATGGAGCATTGTTATACATTTGGGTGGTCCCCATATAGTAGCTTTGGCTTAGATCCATATACATGGGAGGCATTAGCATATTGGGCGGGTAAAAGCCCGGAGCTCCAGCGTTCATACCGCCTCCAGGCACGAGCTGCTGTGGGTACTGGTGCATTGCTGCACCTCGTGGAAGTCCACGCATCCGTGGATGCTGGTTTGGGTACTGCTGCTGCTGGTGATGTTGATGATGCTGCTGCTGATGATGGTGCTGGTGCTGGTGGTTTCCAAGAGGACCACGCATCTGCTGGGACATGCCTGGCTGGTTGTGCATGGGGAGAGCTGGTCCGTAGTTCATCGAGCCATTAAAAGCTGGAGCCGTCTGCGTACAGAGAACAAGACAGGGCTCATTAATCAACATCGAGACAAAAGTCGACAAGACACGGGACAAAAGAGGAGGACGGAACGCACGGGTTGGAGATTGTAACTGCTCCCGCCGAGCTTAAAGACTGCCGCGTTTGCGTCCATGCCATCGGGTCCTGGAGAGGTCATTTGGGCGTGGGGACGCGCGTCGTGCTGGTGCGCGCTCTTGGGCCTGTATTCTACGATATTCGTTATGACAGGATCAGGACAATGGGTCAGTAGTCAGGATGAGAGGCTGGCGAGTGACGGACTGGCTCAGCAGTACGAGACATGAGACCGTCTGGAAAAACCGTCGTACCCAAATGGTGCGCGTTGCCACGCGGGTGCGGTGCGCCGCCGTGCTGGCCGTAGCCTCCGTGGCCAGAAGTCGAACTGGGATGCTGTGGCTTCATGTTTCCATCAAGCGCACGGATTCCCTCAAATCTTTGTGTGGGCAACAAAGCTCTCCCCTGTCGCAAACGCGAGGGGGACCCAAACGGGCCAACCACTCAACGACTGGTGGCAACATGGTGTGGTACAGAACACCACTTGGCTTTTGTATTCACTACTTACAAACGAGTCCCTCCTCGGCTTTTGATCTGATCGTTCACGACGGTTTTATGCACCCCGCAAGAAATGCGGCGGCAATTGCCACGTTCATGCGCTCATCTTCTTCTCGCTGGATGCGACGCTGCTCCTGCGTAGTGATGAGAGATACTGCTGTTTGCGTGACTGAGGGCGATTCGTCGTCCGCACGATTGTCTGTATGAACAGCTGCAGCTCGGGCGAGCTGCAAAACGAGATCAAACTTAAATCAGTACTGCAACCATCGTGACCATCACTCTCGTAAGGGCAACCGTATCTTTTATGACCGGCAAGTGTCGCACAAAAGTCGTTCAGTACCTCTTCGGTCGACACGACAACTGGCGCAAACTCGTCCGTCTCCAATTCCGCACTAAAGTCCCAATGAAAGCGCTGAGCCAGAAGCTGCCGCAACTGTCGAGCCTTCTGACGGAGCTGTCACGTCGTTGCAATCCAGCGTCAAAAGCAGAGTTGCGTCATGACGAACGTTCACCACCCATGAATACGAATGTCGAGCACGTCACGTACCTGGTCTGGGGCCTCGTCATCGTCAATTAACTCAAGTAGAGACACAAGACACGGACTAAGAAAGTTTCGCCGAGTCGTCTCATCGTGGAAAAAGTCTTGCGGAATCTGGCGACAAGCAAGGGAGTAGTTGAAGCAGTTGGAGTTTAGTAGTCGGAGTAGTCAGCACAAATCGAAGGAACAGTAGACAGACAGAGAGATGCTCGTGCAGTCGACTGTCGTATCCGACGTACCTGTTTCAATTGCGTTTGCAAAAGTCGGACAAAAGCGACAAAGAGCGACAGACGAGCCGACAGAGCTCGTTCGCACGACGACAAGAGCGCGACAAACTGCGTCCCAGTTCAACATACAACAACGAGACGGATCAGTCGCCAGCAATAAACAAAAGAGCTACCACAGCTTCTCCATCGGTTACCTCTTTCCACTGCTCGAACGCAGCAAGAGACGACAGCTGCAGAAAGAGCACAAACGATAGCTGCAACTCGCCGAGGAGGTTTTTCCAGTCGCCATCATATTGCTCTTCAATCAGCTCGTCTAGGCGCTCACTGCTTAACAAGACACGAGTAAGTAGGACGTGGCAATAATTGTCGGACACCGCAGTCCCAGTTTCGAAGCTGCTGCTCCATGAGCCCCGACCTTCGGTCCAAGTGGTAAGTCGTCCTTGCTGCAGCCACAAGAGCCGGTCGAGTCTTTCGTAGCGAAGTAAACCGTACAGTTCGTGGTAGATCTGGAAAGGAAGCGATCGCATTCTCCTGAGTTGGAGACGTGGTTGAAGTGTCGTCAACGGCGTCGCCAGGGAGCAGGATGCCGCCGAAGCTTACGCCACAGTGCTGCACATACAGACACAGTGTGGTCAATGTGGCGCCTATACCGAGCACGATCTCAGTAGATGAACAAATGTCTGCTTACCTTGAGAACAAAGGGCGAAATAAAGTTAGACAGACGTTGCCACGTCTTGAGATGCTGGTTTGGGTACGGTCCCAAGCCGCTGTCAAGCTGAAACGACAGCACGGCGCCTACAACAACATCACAATAGTGTACAATTACTGAGTGCAAAACAAAGTGCCAATCAGTTTGCCTCCGCTTGCAGCTGCCTCCTTGTCTTCGTCTAGTCGTACGCTCAATGTTTTCTACGTTGACTCGTGGTCGTGGCGGTCCCAGCTCCTCCTCCTCGGGGCTCCACTCCCGCACTACAACCTGTGCGTGTCTCTCTATATGAATGAAAAAGCCCTGTCGAATGCCGTGCTCTTGCTCTCGAGACCGAAAGAGCACAAAGTGTATTCCTAATGGGAGGAACTTGACGCCTTGGAACTTTGACCCGGTGCGAAAGACCTCGTAGTCGACGCCAAATTCCGTGGCTTCTGGAACGTCTAGACACACAAGGAAGCCGCCGATTGCAGACCTTTTATCGGCAGCATCTACTGAGGATAGCGCCTTTTGCTCAGCGTCTTGGAGCACACGAGCGAAGAGGTCGGCAGTGGAGCTGCTGGGCTCGTGCATTGCCAAACAAAAACAAACACTCTTCGTGACACAAAAAATGGGTACAGTGACTCAAAGCAGCAGCCAAAAGTGAGTCCATGGAATTAAAATGGCTGCATTGACGAATTACGTGAAAACGGACTAAAAATGTCAATTCGCAGCAAGCGCGAGGGCGAGTGACAAGCAAAAATAGGCCGTCGTCAGTGCAAGTATTGAGCAATGCAGAGGAGGAGCAGCATCCGAAGTAGTTGAAGGTGGCAACTTGTGGTCCACTTTTGAGCCGGAAAAGCCTCGGTGCGGGTCTTTGTGAGCCACATCATCGTCCGACAAACTGCCTACGCGGGAGCTGCTGTCATCCTGTAATGAGGATGAAAATGCCAATGACCCCGACGCCGAGTCGGACGAAATCGACGAGACAGCTCCACTCGAAGCAACGAGGTCAAGTTCAGCCTCTGCACCACAGACCATTGCAGCCAGCTGGGACTCTGTAAAGCTGTTTGCAATACCGGGGTGGGTCGGGGACGACATTGTGGCCGATGAAGAAGTGCTGTCGAATCCAGCTTCAGCTGTCCAGGTGCAGCAGGGGTCGCCGAGCTCCTCTCCATTCGATGCGCCGTCACTGTCCGAGTCCGCTTGGCAAAGCTCCTTTGTCCACTCGTGGCCTGCAGCTCCAAAGGCGTCGCCGAAGGCGTTCGTTGCGCCGCCACCAACTTCATTGACGTGGCCTAATGCAGCAATGCCAGCTACTTCGTTGCCATTTGGGATACGAGCTACGAACGACGGACGAGCGTCTGATCGAGAGGTCGTCATCGACAATGTGCAGAGTGCAAGAGGGAGTTTCATGGTCGCAGAGGCTGGTAGCAGAGGTGGTGGGGGAAGGCTGGCTGGAGGCAGGTCAAGGTCGGCAGAAATTGGGAAATGAGGACACTGAAGGCGTGCCCTGACACTCGTGGTATCGGGGTGAGAAGCTGGTCATGTAGCACTGACCGATCAATCAACCGAGGGTCAAGCTCTTTGGAAGGCGCTCGCTAGCAGTGTCACTTTGCGTCAAAGACAGAGACGCTGCAAGCGACGTGGGAGCACTCACTTGCACTGACGGCAACATGGTAGGCGATTGATGGGTCATTGGTAAGTCACTTGTGTGTGGTGTGACAGAGAATGACTGACGTGCTGATCAGAGTTAATGAGCATTGGACGTATGGGACTCAAGACGGATCATGACCGATAGCGTGTAGCTAACATGAGACGACTGTATTGACCTGGAGCTCAAGTTTGCCGGTCAGAACGTAGGAGATCGAAGATCCAGTGCGATGTCGCCTGTATTTGTCTTCTCGTCAGCTGTGTTTAATCGATAAAAGACTGAAAGTCGCCCCTTATTCGGAGCAGATAGATGCAAGATGAAAAAAACTGTCGAGTCTAATACTTTATCCGACTGGATCAAGGTCATCATCATCTCTTCGATAAAGTAGCCCACACTTGCTTTTTGTCCAATCAGGCGAGCGAACTCCCGTGCTCCTCACAATCCTGCAGCGCCACTACACGCGACGCCACCTCCAGGGACTCGAGCGATCGCCTCGTCATGCAGCCGTCCATCACACGCAGTGTCCGTTTGCTGGGGATGCGCGGCTTCGCTAGCCACACAAAGCCGCACGTCTACATGCCGGAGACTGCCATGCTGACCAACAACGTGCGTCGCTTGTTCATCAAGTGTGTATACTTAGTCGAGAGGTTAGTCACGTGTGCGATTTTGTGACAACTTTTGCAGGGCACGCACGAGTTCAAGCGCAAAGGATGGGAGTATTCCGCCTATCTGGGCATGCTCGGTGGTCCTATTATACTCTTTCTGGGCCTCACGAACGCCCCTGAGACGGACTCGGACGTTTTGGCCAGGTGAAGACAAAAGCGCTGGGAAACGATGACCAATGGGGCGCTCCTGGTCTTTGTAAGTGACTGACTCATGGCTTGGCTTCTTCATTTGTGACTTGTGTAAATAGAGAGGAGGTGATTGCCAAGCGAGCAGGGATCGAGTACCTCGTGCGGCGTGCCAGTGGTGGAGCTATGAGACAACGGTACATTTACAAGACGAGCGAGGTTGGCGAGCCGCCGGTGCTTCACGAGGAGTAGAGAGAGAGAGAGAGGGGGGGCTAGGACGTGCTGCTTTGTGTTGCGTCCTTGTCTCCTTCAACTGCGATGCCGGACGTTGAGCACCAGATCGACTGAGGACGGACTGGAAGAGCAAGGAACAGACTCGGCTCTCACCGGTGTCTTTGTTCGCGTGGTAATAGTGACTGACTGACTGACTTCATCTCTTCGTCTTCTTCTTCTTCTCTCCATGCACGTGCTTACCGCTCCTCCATCGACTGATGCTGCTCATTCAGGAATGTCTTCACCTCGTCTGTTGTGCCGCAGCTCGTGATCCTCAAGTCGCTCTTGCGTGTCTGCTGTCGGATCAGGCCGCTCAGCACTCCACCTACGCCAAGCTCCAAGAAGTGGGTCACGCCCTGGTCGACACAATAGTCGACGCTGTCGCTCCAGCGGACAGCATGCACGAGCTGCTTCTCCAGCACTTGTGCAATCTCCTCGGGCATCTTGATCGTCGCGGCAGCCTCGACGTTCCAAACCACTGGCACCTCTGGCGTTCGCAGCTTGTCGTCCTCAAGCAACTGCTCGAGATACTCACGCAGCTCTCGTTTCGCAGGTTCCATCAGGTCGCAGTGGAAAGGAGCACTCACGTCCAGCAGCACCGCTCGTCGCGCTTTGCCCGTTGTTTTCGCTCGACTCACGACCGCAGTCACAGCTTCAGCATCGCCGCTAACAACCGTCTGCTTGTGCGAATTGTAGTTGGCCACCTGACACGCTTTCCCGGTACTCGCGACAGCTTCTCGACACAGCAGCTCGGCGTCTTGAGGCTGCACGGGCATCAGAGCAGCCATGGCCCCTACCCCAGGAGCGACTGCCCGTTGCATGGCCAAGCCACGAAAATGCACGAGACGAGCAGCTTCCGCAAAGTCGATGGCTCCAGCAGCTACTAGCGCCGAGTACTCGCCCAGGGAATGGCCCAGTGCAAACTGCACGCGTGGCAGCTCCATCTCGTGTTGCAGCACTCGTAGCACAGCTACCGACAGGGACAGCAGCGCTGGTTGAGCCACGTGGGTGGGCGTGAGCTCATCTGCTGGACCTTCGGTCATCCGACGTCGCAGACTCAGTCCCGTAGCTTCGCTCGCTTCTTCCAGCACATCACCGACGATCCGTGGCCAGTCATTGAGCAGATCTTTGCCCATGCCGACATGCTGACTGCCTTGTCCAGGGAACACGAGGGCGAGGCGACGCAGTGCCATGTTGCGACTCGAGAGCAGCAAAACGGATGGGTGGAGAGACGGTTGACTGCAGGGTGACGGGCGGTGCCGAGCAAGTGCGGGGGTCCTGTTTGTTGCTTGCTTATCCCTTCCTTGAGCTAGCTACGGTACTGAATACGTACGTACGTGGCTGGCTGGACCTTTCGCTGCTGGTCTCTCAAAAGCTGTCGCTGCTCATCATATGACGGTCTCTTCTAGAGTGGGATCAGATGGATGGACGGATGATATCTACAGTCTCAGCCTACCGACGACCTCCACGGATGTCGTTGCGATCACGTCGACGACCACTGCCACCGCTCATGCCATTTCCGCCACGTTCGTCCTGTTCGTTACGTCGGTCAAAGCTTCCAGATCCGTGCCGCCCGCCTCGGTCTTGACGTCCACGCCTACGCCATCATCACGCCATCACTTTTGTTAGTACGAGCTCCTGGCAAACAAGGAAACACACATCGAGTTGCTTACATGTGGTCACGCTGCTGGTGCTGCTGCTGGTGCTGCTGCTGGTGCTGCTGCTGTTGCATCTGGTTCCCGTTGTTTCCATCGGGGCCTCCGCCTTTCATCTTGCGCTTGCGCTTGTCGTCGTGTCCACGCTTCAACTCGCCTCGGTTGATATTGCTGCCACTATCACGACGCCGATTCCCTTCCATGGCGTTGGTCGAAGATGCTTCGTCAACTGTAGACTCGCGCTCACGTTTGCGAGACGAAGACACCAGTGAAACGATTTTACGTGCACCACCAGCAAGAGTTCCAGCAACGGCCATCGGGACCTTCGCTGCTGGAGTTGCTGACACTGACAACGAAAGCGGAGGCCGCATCCGATCACGCGGTCCAGTTCTGTTGCGTTCGCTAGATAGCAGCTCTTTAGCCCTGGCCTCCTTGTCAGCAGTAAGCTGACGACGTAACGCGGCCTCGGACTGCTCAGCAGGTCGGACTCTCTTGTGCGGAACTTCGACTGGAGAAGGCTCAGCTGTCGCAGACTCGTGCTCTCCTCTTGTCCCCCAATTCGATTTCGCAGACTCCGACACGTGATCGGGCTGTGGCAACAAAGCCGGCTTGACGGGTTCTTCACTTCGTGCAGAACTCGGTTCCACCAGCTCTGATTGCCTGGTCACACCGTTCCCTTCGTGTCCATAAATCGAATCACGATTTCGCGAGGTACGTTCATGACGATCATGACTGTCACTGCGACTGCTGTGGCGCGCGCTGGCAAAACGGTCACCTTGTATACCGCGGTAGGCTTGTCCGCGTTCGCGCACACGTTCGCCTTCACGTAAAGACCGATTAGCACTCACGTTGCTACGCTCATCGGCACGATCTCCTGACCGACTGCGCAGCGGTGTCGATGTTTTCTCGAACCGACGGGATGCCGATCCACTGCGCTCGCGTGACTCGAATGCTCGGCTATTTGTTGCACTGCTTTGACTCACCACTGCGGGAGACAACTCGCGATCACGGTGGTCTCGGCGACTGCGTTTTTCGCCCACGCTGTGTTCAAGAGAAGTATCCGCCGAGCTGTCTTGGCGATGCTCTGGCTCTGTACGTTCCGCACGACTGCTACGGTCATGACTGGAGTCAATTAAGCTACTTTGTCCGGCGCGGCTGTCCCCACTACGATCCCCACCTCGCTCCCGCTCTAAGTTTTGATCTTTGACCCGCGATGGGGCAACGTCACTGCTGTTGCTGCTCTTTCCCAGCACGATTTCACCACTCTCAACCTCTTGACTCTCCGCACGGCTCAGCGCTGGCACAGTTACACCTCCACGCTTGCCTTCGTTACTTTTGGTATCATCAGCGCAAGCCGTACTGCTTTCTTCAACAATTGGACTCTTTCTGTCATTGCTAGATGATACAACAGCTGGGGGCTTAGATGGAGTACTGCGAGTACGGAGCAGCCTGTCGTCAGTCAGTGACGTCTTGCGCTTGGTCAGCAGAGCAAAGTATCGCTTGGCCATGATCTTAATGTCTTCCCTATCTTCCTTTGTCAGCTTTTCCACAATAGCTAAGATCATCTCAGCTGTTCCGTCACCCACTGGGAACACGTCAATCAGCTTCGTGAGTACCACTAAGGTGTTGCGGATCGACATGTACTTGCCACTCGAAAGAGCCGTCGTGTACACAAGCTCTAGCTGCTGGTGCCAACGAGCATACGCCGCCTTAAACTGGCGGTGACCAATGCACTTCGTATCGTCAGTCAGATCCAAGCTCATACCAATCTTGCCATGGACCGCTTCATCGTCGTACGTCGCGCCGTTCTGATACCAGCGCAAAATAAGCCCCAGTGTCTCCTTCATAAAGAAGCCGAAGTTGCTTGCCTCACGCTCTGTCGCACATAGCACCAGTGCTGATACCTTTAAACACACCTTGTGGAAATACTGCAGACTGCTAAGTTGAGGCGTCGAAACAGTGTGGAGGCGCTCCATGAACTTGGCGGCGAATAGAGCGTCTTCAGGTGATATAAGGGAGCGTGGGATTACGCACTTCTGCAGCAGCTCATCAATAGCAGTTTGATTACCATTCGGTATGTTTCTGAAAAACGCCCCTTTCATCTTCTCCAGACGCTCGTATACACGTTTTCGATGGACGACCTGGTCTTTTTGTTCTGTCGTAAGTACATCAATCATCTGCGTAGTCTTTTCTTTCAGCTTCTTCCGCTCACTTGCACTGAGTAACGCGTTTGCACCGGATGTGATGGAGTTCCTCAAGCGTAAAATCTCGGATTCATACTGCTGGAACGGAATATGAATATCGTACAGCTTTAGACCCCAGAACGTTGCATATACCTCCGGTGTCAATACCGTAAAGGGTCCTTCAGGCTTACCGCCTGACGAGATGTTGATGCGCAGTGCTTCTTTGATGTCCTCCAAAAGAGTGGGATCGTACATATACCAACTTCTCTCCACAATAGACGCGCCATTCGATGCAAGTTCAGTTGCACTGGCCCCGATATTGACTGTATTCATACTGCCAGCTGCGTGTACACCACGCGGCGCGGTTCGCAATACGGGATCATCACTGCGCATCGCCGGACGAACGAGTGACATTGCCAACTCTGGTGGCACATTATATTCACGGACTAGCGTCGTAATTGACGGAAGCATTTTTCGATACGCCGATGGGTCGACAACGCCACCTAGAAACTGAAGCAGCTGGCTAAGCGTGAGCTGGCAAGTATCAAACACTCGCCCGAGCAGCTTGAGATGTGACAGTTCTCGGTCCTCATGATACTCAATGCGGCTGCGCATCTGACAAATTAAGATGCACAACGGTAAAGCCAAATCGCGCTTGATCAGAGCATCGCGTAATTTGGGAATGGCACGACGGTTTTGGAACTTGGGGTCTGTCGGTTCATACCAAAGGTGTGGCCCACCGGCTTGGGCTTCCAGTTGGCTCATCGAGATATCCTCTAAACTCAAGCATGACCCCATCTTCGTTAGGAGCTCACTTAATACGACAAGATCCACCGATGCCCAGCTTTTAAGCCGCTGGATAAGATACTGGAGTAGGCCTGCCAGCTCCACGTTCGGGTACTTGCGATAAAAGCTACCTGAGAAATTCGCTAGTGACGTCAGCCAAAGTGAGACATTGGTGCCGTCAGACTTCATGGACTTCTGTGGTCTTGACAATTCGCTTACAAGAACGAATGACAGCACGTCCATCCCCAATGGCGTAACAAATTTGAATGACTCCACCACAGGCTGAATCAAATTATCGTACGACTGAATCTGCCGCAGCATCGTACGAAAAACAATCAGCGGGTTCGAGTGGGATACGTGGGTCAGACTGCGAGCTGACAACTTTGCTCGATCTGCTGTGAGCCGCCGCATGATGCCACGCGTGCTCTGTATCACCTCAGCTTCTTTTAATCGCATCGCTGGATACTTGTCGTACAACTCGAACCAGTGCAAATACATTCTGTAACGCTCATCGCACGGTAACGTTTTGATCAGGTCCCACACCAAGAACGCTGAGCTCGGATTACATTTCTGTAGCGACATGGCCGGAAGGAATGAGTTTACCAGAAGTGACTTCACCTTCGTTATAAGTACAGTATCCTTTTCTTCCTTTCCAACAGCGGTGCTTGACTTCTTGGCGTGATTATCAACCATCTTGCCAACGATACGTAACAGCTTGGCCAAAAGAAATTGATCGTGAAACAATTGAGGCCCGATCTTTTCCACCATGGGGAAAACTTCAGACACACAATCGTCTAGCGCAGCCACGCGACGAACGTAATGACTGCTCATGCTCGCGTGGAGCACTAGATCATTCGCGAGAGTCGTTGAACCACTATTGTTGGCACCAACAAGCTTCAGACTGCAAGATGAAAGCGGCGAGTACACCTCTTCAATCATCACATTCACGACAAGACATGCTTCCTTGTTCAACGGACCGAACGCAAAAGGATTCACACCTCTCCTTTGGAACCATGAAATCATATCAAAGGCGCGTTCCCGCGCGTCAATCTCCAAAAGACCGATAATAAGTCCATACACCTGGCTGTGTTCCGCGTTCTGCTTGCGGTTCTCAGCACCGACTGCATCTTCCTCTGTACTCACCGCTTTACCGGAGTCATTTTTGGCGGCAAGGCTTATCTGGCCCAATGATCCTGCTTTTTCAACGAGCTCCTTTTCGTGCTCCACGGACGCTTTAATAATTTCAGCACGAGACGGAGATAAGTGAGGCAGGAGGGCATCCAAGTCGAGGAGACCCTTGTTCAGCAGCGTCGCAGCTAGGCGATAGAGTGAACGTGGCGTCATGATTCCCTCCACAGCAGGCGGATCACGTTTATAGAATTGGAACTTAAAACCCATGATGTGAGGTAAGCTATCACGCTTGAATATCTCGAGAAGTTGGGCGAAGCAATCGTTTCTCGGATTCATCTCGTAAACATCGAGCACCAAGTCCAACACACGGTTTGCGTCCAAGTCAAAAAAGCCGATGAGCGTAATCAGGTCAGCTTTTGTCTCCTCCAGCTGGCTCTTGCTTACTCCAGTGTGCAGAAGACACAACACCTTCGAAAACCCCTCTGTCTCCTCCCGCAGCAGGTTGTACTTAATCTGTGTGTACAGTGTCTTGGTATTGATACGCACCATTTTCTTTGCCAGCAGCTGCGGCTGGGACACTAGCTCTGCATCGTGCAGCAAGTCAAACTCGAGTGTCGCCTTGAGACTCAGTAGCGTCAAAAGCTTCTCGTCAACCGTGGCTTTCACCAGTGCGCACAGATTGCGCCACTCCCTCGACGCATGACGCTCATGGCCGCGTTCACCGATCTCGACTTCATTGCCAATGACCCACAGTAGATCTATCAAAAGATCGCATGCCTTGGGGCACGTCATCTACGAAACAGTCGGTCAGCCAGTACGCCATTAGTCCGGCATTGATACGTCAAATATCGATATCTGCACCCCCGTACCAGCTCTGCTTCCTTCAGTAGTACCATCACTTGGTGTTTGGTCAACTTGGCGTCCAGCACGATCCAAACAAGCTCATAAAGCAGTCGAGGGAGCTCTACAGCGATCCAAAATAGGGTGTCGTACGTAAATAAAAACACTGCCGCACCCTGTCACACAAATACCGCGTCACCTGACTCCGCCTCTCGTCCTGGATAATCGCTCAACGCGCGTGTCAACTGCTTCAGACTGGAGGGAAAAAGCGAGCCAATAACACACAAGCGTCAGTCAACCGCGAAGCGTAGCCGACTCATGGAGACGCAAGAAGTAGCACGTACGTATCAGATCTTCCTTTCTCGGTCCATTGGCTCAGCGTCCGCCCGCAGATGAGCGTGAGGTCCGTGCGTCTTGTGCGCTCCATCCGCGCCTCGGTCGAGCGGCTCGTCGTGTCAGGATGATTCTCGTCTCTTTTTGTATAAAAAGTGAGAGACCGAAAAAGAGGGAGGGGCTTTATTTGATCGGACGTTCGACAATAGTGTGTGCCACATGACTTAGCACGGCCCGTGGATGTACTCAGGATCAGGCGCTGCAATCCGTCAGCGACGTATCCTCTTTTTGTACCCGGTAGTGTCAACTGCTACACACTGTTGGTGTAAGAGCAGCATATGTGGTGGTCACCTGTCCGACCGTCAGTGACTTTAGCGACTGGCAACACGTAGTGCCCATGTTAAGTGAACATTAAGTGGCCGTGGAGCTCCGTGGACAAGCTGTGTACCTACCTGACCATGAGCTCATGCACAGCAAAACAAGGTATCGAGCCGGTACTCGAAGCGCAGCACATTGCCATTGCATCGTGCGATGCATTCAGCTTTGTGCACACGCAGCTACAGAGTCGCAGCAGCATCTCGTCGATACAACAAACAGGTGGATATATGGAGAGACGTGAGGCAGATGAAGCGAGCGAAGTTGTTGGTACGATATATTGTGGTGTTGCAAGTATCAGGAATTGAACGAGCACAAGACTGAAAGCAGTAGCCCAGCGAAGAGAAAAAACCTACATGCATACTGTTTTGTCGAGCACACAGCACGAATGTGTGAGAGAGAGCCACAAGGTTGTTCAAGCTCATGGCAAGTGTCTATCACAGGCACCTCAACGGATTTGTATCAACGTCTTTCGCAAACGCCCAAGAATTCGACCTGTCCTAGGATCAAAAAATACACAATCAGAGATCTCCAGTCATCGCTTCGTGTAAAATTGGCCGTACAATATTACACTAGCGACCAGACCCGGATAATGAGAAAAGGTTTCGATCTTGATAGGACAATACTCTGGCCAATCAGAAAGACTCGCTCGACTCAGCATGGCGACTTCGAGCGACATCAGCTGCGACGGCGCCTGGGCCAAGTACTTCAACTCGAGCGAGGACGTGGCACTGCCGAATGGAGACGTGCGTCGCCTCCTACATATGCTCATGGAATATCGACTGACTACTGATGTCATTTTGCTGCTCGTTAGACGTTCCGTGTGTATCGCGCAGGCTCTCAAGGTCCGCATGTGGTTTTGCTCCATGGTGGAGGTTATACCTCCATGACTTGGTGTCTTGTGGCGGTATGAAGTACTACAGGTTTTTTTGTATACTGGTGATGAGCTACCCGCTAATGATGGTGTTTTGCTGTGCTGTCTCTAGGCTATGCTGAAGGAGGCGTGCAGGGTGTACGCTATTGATTTACGCGGTCACGGGCAAACACACACGAGCGCGGACGTCGACTTGTCCATTGACACACTGGTAGTCGACACTCTGCAGGTCATGGAACTATTGATTCCTCCTATGGCATTGGAGGAGGACGGAAATGCTGACCTTGAGAACCCCCAGACCATCATCGTTGGCCACAGGTGAGGACGTGTTAGCTTGCTGCATGAAGGAGTCTTGATCGGTTGACCAACTACACTGAAACACTCACGTTCATGCTATGCTGACTTTGCACTTGCTTGCAGCTTGGGTGGCGCACTCGGAGTTCGAATTGCTGCCACGGGCAAGGTGCTGTCGCTTGTCGGTGTCATGGTGATCGATGTGGTAGAAGGCACGGCAATGGCGTCGCTAAAGCACATGGGCTCCATCCTTGAACGGCGTCCTTCTCGTTTTCGCTCGTACAAGGAGGCTGTCGATTGGGCACTGCGTAGCGGCACTGTGCATAATGTCGAGGCTGCTGAAGTCTCTATTCCGTCACAGCTCAAGCAACTTGAAGACGGCATGCTGGTATGGAAGACAGATCTGGCTAGCAGTTCGAAATACTGGAATGGTAGGTGATGTTTATTGATTGTCAGGGGTGTGCCTGCTCAAGCTTTGCGTTATCAACAGGCTGGTTTACTGGTCTCTCAAAGCAGTTCCTGTCGCTTAAGGAAGCCAAGGTGTTGGTGTTGGCAGGTACGATGGCGCACTGTTTACATTCTGTGTGCCTGTTTCCATACTCGTTGCTTACTCACTCGTAAGGCTCCGACCGTCTGGACACGGAGCTATTGCGTGGCCAAATGATGGGCAAATTTGAAATGAGATTGGTGTATTCATCCGGACACGCGATACAGGAGGACTGTCCACACGAGGTGGCTAATTTCATCACGGATCTATGCAGCCGCTGCGCACGCGTAAAAACCGGAATTATATTCAGGTCCGATGGAGTAGTAGCAGCTCAACCAATGAAGAGGTCGTTCCTGGCGGAACGCCTTCAGAAAGCACGCGCGATGATACCAGAAGAGGGCGTCCTTAGTGCTGACGATCATAGCAAGCCCTCGCCCCAGTGAATGCTCCATCTATAGTGGTGTTGTATAGATGTTGACCTGTAGAGGCTTATGACTATCGCAGGCAGGTCTAATCGATTGACGAAAGCTCCAGTTATTCTAACCGCACAGTACGTTAAACATTTGCGAGGTCCGTGTAACAAAGTGCTGGTTTCCCTGGTGCATTGCCTGCGAGCTCTTGGTGTCGATGGCAACTTCATGTGCCGGTGGAGACCAGTCCTCCTTCTTAGCGACGGGTTTGACCGCAAACCTGCTGTCACCATAGACAAACACCGAGACGATGACCAGCAACACGCCAAAGTAGAAGGAGGTCGTGGCCGTCTGGTTGAACATGTAGTTCGAGATGATGCACGAGAAGATGAGCGAGAAGGACGTGCCAAAGTTCTTGACAATGTTGTCCGAGTAGCGCACGACAGCTGCAACCGTGAGTCCGCCGACAGCCTGGAGAAAGATGACAGCAAAGACTGCTGGGTGGAAGCCATAGAAAAGTCCGTTGGAGTACACCTCGCTTATGTTGCGCACGACGTCCACTGCAGCGACGCCCACTGAGATAGCCGCGAGCTGTAAATTTCGCGTCCAGAGCGTGTCCAACGTCTGCTGGGTCGTGATGGCCTTGTGAGATTTCATGACGCGCTCAAAGTAAGCGGCAGCAAGTCCTGAATTGATCGCTAGTCCAATCATGATACAAATGCCGATGAATTGGTGATTCTTGCTGCTGCTGCTGCTGCTGCTGTTCACCTGATCCGAGGGAGTTGGTCCACTCGGGAGTCGCGAGTACGAACAGATGGTGACGCCCGCCATAAGTGCCACCATCGCACACCACTGCACAAAGCTGAAGCGGCGGTGCAGCAATACAATCATGAAGAGAGCGGTCGTAATGACCTTCAACTGGTACACAATCTGGTACGTCGCCACGTCCACGTAGTCGTACGCGACAAGCGCAAACATGTTCTGCAGCGCGTAGAGAAAGGCGAGCACCGCCATCTTGGTGAGTCCGCTCGTGTCGGCAAAAACCTCCAGTTGAATCGTGCGGATAGACGCCTTGACGTTCCCGCGCTTGAGCTTGAGCAACACAAGGCAGCACAAGAGGAACTTGAACATCTCGACCAGCAGCACGACGGAGCTGGGGCGGTACTTGGGTCCTGCTTGAGCGCGCGAGTACTTGGACATGATGGACAGCGCCGTGTTCTGCACCACGAGCATCACGAAACTCACTTGCTTGAGCGAGATCTTCCTCATCATCATCAGCAGCAGCAGCAGCAGCACCACGGCGTCAATAGGGAAGCAAAAGATAGAGTGAGGAATTGGTAGCTGGAGTGGAATAATCACGCGAACACAGTGTCAATATTGCGGACGGTTTCGGCTTGACTGGGTATTGCAATATGACAGATACAAGGGAGTGGACCTATTTTTCTGAATGAACCAATCAACGTTGGCGACGTCGCTCATTGGTCGCGTAGAGTGATAAAGTCGACAATCATGGCGTCGGGCTTTGGCGAGGTTGGTCCGTGCCGTTTGCATGGGAGACGATACGTTACGGACTCTTGACGTCGTACTACCTTTGCTTCTGGCTACTGTAGCTAGTGCTGGTGGTGGGTGACATCCACATTCCATCTCGGTGTTCTGAGGTTCCTGAAAAGTTTCAAAAGATGCTGGTAAACATGTGTAGCAGGTTCAATACAGGGTTTCGGGCTCTAAACGTATCATCATCATGTGGTGGACACTTTGCCAAGCCAGGTGCCGAATAAAATGCAGCATGTTTTGTGTACAGGAAATGCTGGTTCAAAGGAGCAACTCGACGAGCTACGACAGCTGGCGCCCAATGTCCACGTTGTGGCCGGAGACTGTGATCAAGTACGGATGAGACTGGCTTGGAACTGTAGCGGCTGACTGAACGGAGCTGAAGCACTGAATAATTTTATATCGAGCTTCTGCATCGTGTAGGAAGGAATGTACCCGGATACGAAGGTCGTCACGATTGGCCAATTCCGGATCGGGCTCTGTCACGGACACCAAATTATCCCGTGGGGCGACCAGCACAGCCTCGCGGCTCTGCAGCGAAAGGTTCGATTTTTGTTCGTAGTGTTGCCATATTTGCTGTCGAGACGCTGGAGGATGACTGTGGGTTCGTTTGTGTCATGCGCAGATGAACGTCGACATCCTTATCACCGGCCATACCCACACGTGAGTGCCATGGGATACTATCAAAACACCGTGGCTGCACTAATAGCTACTTTTGCCTGATGTGTCGGTTACAGGCCCCACGTCCGGACGGAACAAGGCAAGTGGTTTGTAAATCCTGGATCGATTACAGGCGCGTTCAGCAGCCGTACGAGAGATGTGGTCCCGAGTTTTATACTCATGGCATTGCAGGGGCCGAAAGTCGTGGCTTTCTTATATGAGCTGAAGGATGGAGGCGTGATCGTCTCAAAGAGCGAGTTTACCAAGGAATCGTTGTGATCTCTGCGCAGCAGCCGTTAGGCTTCATTGCCGCGGAGGGTATTTGTTAAGCTTCAATGAACATCGTTGTTTCGTTTTCCTGTACAGCGCACCTTTTCTCGTGTTGCTCGAAAGGGACCGTCACGCGTGACAGTTATGCTACGACTTCATGTTGCTCAGTAAGCAACTAAGACTGGTCAAGCTCGGCTTTAAGGTCTTCGAAAAACACAGCTGGGTCCAAAATCACAGGGTTTGTCACGCGCGGTAACACGCTCACCTTGTAAGACTCGTAGCGTCGCCACATTTCGAAACCGCGCAACGTGTGTTCCATCTCCTTCAGCAAGTGCTTGCGCATGGCAGCATCTTTGCTACCACTGCCGTTATTCGGATCAATCGGCGGAGTGAGGCCGTTCTCCCGTGATTCAGGTGAGCGCCCGGGTGTAAACAGCTCCGAATAGAATGACTGCAACTTGCGGTGCTGCAGCCGGTAAACGGTGAGATGTATTACTGCAGCCATTTTGCAGCCTAGTGCGGCTAGTTGCATACTACCGGCGCTCTGGAAAGCGCGGATAGTGCTCTCAACTAGTGATGACGTCTGCGAAAGAGTCGTGATACAGTTTTCGCCAAACGACTGCGCGTGCTGAGCGTCACTCTTTTCTTGATACGCCACTTTGACTTCTTGCAGCTTTAGTGCGTACTCAAAGAATTTAGCACCCGAACGTAGATAATATCTGCCTTGCGTGAGCTGCCCCTCAGTGCCGGGTTCACTCGATCCACGACGATTTCCTTCATGCTTCAGTTTTCGAGCCTCATCCATCAGTTTTGCTGACTCTAACCGTAGCTTCCGTACGTCACCTTCGGCTGAGAATGTGATCATAAAAGACCCGTCAGGAATAACAGTGGCCTGAGGCGCAGTACTCTCCGGTTTCACTTCTTCTGATGTCTCCTTCACATCTCCAGTCTTCACATCCTCCACTCTTTTCACTATTTGCTCCTGCTCTTCCTCCTTCAATGTTTCGCCATTCAACTTCTTCTTGCACACTTCACACATTGCCGGTGCACTCGGTGCAACGGGTGCCGGAGACTGGGCCGGCGGTGTCAGATTATCGGCCAGAATGTTGTTCGACGGAGAGGAGGTTGATTGATTCGTGTTGGTCTCTTCTGAGCTCATTGCTGGCTCCTTCTTCTTGCTGCTGGACTTGCCGGACTTGACAGATTTGCTGGTCTTGCTAGAGCTGCTAGACTTGCTCGATTTACTGGACTTACTTGACTGGTTCGTTTTGCTAGATTTGACTTCATTTACCTGATCTCCGGTACCAGGCTCGATAGAAGGAGGCTCCTTCCATGTCACGCGTTCTGCTTCTCCCACCGCAAGCTGCCGTCGAAACTCATCGTGCCGCTGAGACGACTCAACGCTAAATGCATCGATTGACGTCTCACTATTGTTTGTGCACCGCACCCTGAGCAAGCAATCACGTACATACGTGGACATTTGCTTGTAATACTCTGAGTCTGGCCGATGTCGTTTCCGCGCGCGGGTAGCTTTGATCGGGTACGTCGGAGCGTTTTCATTATTTACTTTCAGGTCATGACTCGCCGGTACAGCTTTCGTGTGAGTTACCGATATCGTGACAGCAGGTTCCTCCTCTACCTCCGTCACTGTTGCTCCTCGGTCGTGCCCTTCGTCATCGCTGTCTGCAACTGATAACAAACTCTCGTCATCCGAATCTTCAGCATCAGAATCAGCACCGCCTTCAGTCGGCAAAACCTTGCCCCGCGATAAAGCACTTGGGAATCGGAGCTGCTTCCCCCTTCCCACACTGGCCGGCATCACGTCCACTGCGACCAACTGCTGACCAGCGGTCGTGCTACCGTCATCCTCCTCCTGTTCACTCTCTGAAGACAACGGCGTGGACGACTCGACGTCCGAAGAGGCCGCCGAGTCGCTCGAGTCAGACTCCGCGCCGTCTGCGCCAGCACTTCGGCCACGCAGCGCCGCCTCTTTGCTAGAGATCGTCCGACTTGGCGCGTTTTTCTTGGACGAGACAAACTTTCGCTTGGCCATCTGCCGTCAACAGACACAGCACGAGGAAGACACGGCAAAAAGAATAAAGCGCACAACGACAGGGAAAAAGGTACCGGTGTTAGTCCTACGAACCGACAAAGAGAGAGGGGGAACGTCTACCATCAAAGAGTACAACACGACGCACCTTTGACGTAGCGTTACTTCACAGTCTTGCAGTCGAGCGTCGATTGCGGACAACCGAAGCGGCGTAGAGCGTACTTACCACGTCAGAAGAGCCGGGGGAAGCGGCTGACGCCTCTGCGTAAGAGACTGGAGACGTACGCAGTTGTAACCTGGAGACAGAGGGAAAGAGAGACAGGGAGAGAGAGGAACCAAGAGGACGTCAGCGAGCTCCGTGCAGGTGCTTCGGAACAGTTCCTTGCTGCCGGGAGGAGAGAGCAAGTCGCAAGTGAGGTGGTACATTCGTGTGGTGCACGTCACTTTCGACCGATGGGCAGGGAATACCGGACAGGCTGTTCGATAGTGCAGTGGAGTTCGGGCGTAATTGATTTGTCAATTCGGACAGTCCAACTGTGCGTTTGGTCTCTCCTGCATGCTCTTGGTGGATCGATGTGCAAGCAAGGCTTCGAGCGGGTAAATTCTGGTTCACGTAAAAAAGACATAGGACCACCTACCATTGACGAATATTCATAGTGGACAGAAATCGTATTTGGCGGACAAGTAACGTTCGAGTTGGTCAATCATGTAATTTTTACAGACAAGGAGAGAGTTGCGTGAGCGGCAGTAATTAGGTACGGCTATTGCGGTTGAATAGTCTCTTTCGACTGAATATAGGGCGGATCCATTTACATGTACATTTCTTCGTATCTACTTACCCGCAAAAGATAACCAATATAAAGCTATTCTTGATTGTATCCGACGCTCACTTCACAGACATTAAGGACATCAACGGTTCCTTGAAGCCTTGACACTTTCAGAACTCGAAGGATGTCTCTCCAGAGACCTACTCACCTAGCTAGAAAGATGTCCTTCTCCGGTGATACGATACAAAGGGCTAGCAATGACTTTTTCGCTATCGAAGGATACAGCATTGTTACAAAGAAGATTCAAAAGCAACGAAACAAAAAGAGAAAGTGTATAAGTGGTCGAGTGTACTCGAATTGACACAAACTGATTCAACAGAACACAGAAAGATCCGGAAACTATTTCCCTGGACGTATTTTCAAACCGGTCGGCACGGAACATCTAGGTGACGTAACTTGTTTTCTTGTAATGATTAATTCAACACGGCATCTTGCAAGTTTTTTTTACTCGTGCTGTACCTTGTATATCGCCAATGGAGTATTATTTCGATCTGGAAGAACATAAACATAAGCATTCGTCGCACCCGATAGCCCACGCTGTTGTATAGACGCCTGGTTAATACTACGCGACGGTAATGGAAGGGGTGGTCAATTTTGGGGTACTTGTATGAAAAATTAGACCCGCATGGACTCACCCGAATAACTTACAGGGTGGGTTGTCCTGAATAAAGCCGGTGGGTTTTCTTATTGCAAGCAATGTTGCCTGGTAGATTAGTGCCATGGCGAAGGGGGTTTAAGACCGCGTATAATCCGCGAAGGATTGCGGGCGGACGCTTACAGCTGCCACGCACTACTTTCGTACACACCTTCGGGCACCTGCAAGAAAACGATATTACCGTCTTTTTTCGAGTGCGACAACGTCCGGGTGGATCCTCAAGACTCCCTCTCTGATAGGTAGACTCTTGTTTGGTGTTGTCACGAACGCGGTTTCCCGTTCTCCGGCACACACGTAATGGCTATGTTGCCTAATTTAAGACTGATTTCTATTCAACTCATTCGACAGAAATCTAAGTGGCTATTGGCTAAAATAACAAAAGATTAGATGTGCGCTCTGATGAGAGCGCGTTCTCTACATACGCTTCGACTTGATAAAAGTGCTTTAATGACACACTTTGATGACGTTATCGGAGGACATCAACCTTGGCGTTATCCGTGTGTGTAACACACGCACTGTGGTCAGTACGCTGTTGCTGTACCTCAACTACACGATAGGTATTAACGAGCACCGCACTTAGGACCTTTCTCAGACTTCTCCGTGCCGTTACACAAGTCTCGTGTTACGGTTTGATTCCGTTACAAGGATTTCTAGAAGATACACAAACCATTCTGTTTGATGCATGTACTGTATAAAAAAGGAAGAGTTGAGAGCTATACAAAATGTCTCCTCTTATAGGAAAAGGGATTCGGAAACACAGTGCACGATTCCCAATTCCTAGTAAAGCGTATACCCTCTGTTCATATTTCTTCGTAAAATGTATTACGCCATGACGTAAAGCCTTGAAAAGCACATTTTGATGGGGCTAAAAAGGGTAATACCAGAAGATTTACCAGATTCTCAGTAAAACGATTTACCGATTGACGATAGTGCCATTGGAAAACTTCCCAATGGTATGTCGGCGAGATCTGTACCATGACCAAGTTCTTGGAAGCGGCATTTGAATTTACTCCTTACAAGGGGGCAATGAAGTAGAGATTTAAAAGTAGGGGTTTCTGCGGCCTTGTTCAAGGCACTCCTGTATGCAAACAAATTCCGGCCTCCATAAAAGAAGAGACTTGAAGAATAAAGATCGGAGTGCCATCGAGTGACGATTTGAAGCTGATACAAAAGAGTTAGATAACTCTACGAGTAATCTCTAGCCGAATGAATACCAAGATTAAGATAATGTTTATGTGTGCTATGTAAAGGAGTACCATTCTGAAGACCGGCACATTCTGTCGCCGACAAAACATCATGAACGGAAGAGCGAAGCTCTGTAATGTACCGTATCACAGGCACACAAAAGGCTCAAAACTAGTGGTTTGAGAATTTTCATTGGTCTTGGGATGGCTGTTAAAATCTGGTGCTTAGCAGTGTCGAATAAGCCACAGAAAAATTAGAGCCTACTCGGCGCTTTGAGTGGACAATTGCTGTTCCCAGCCTAATCATTCAGATAGGACAAGTAACTGCTCGACGAACCGTCGTCAGTATGAGCATGTGTGAGTCTTTATACTAATATTAAATGGATACACACGCACACAGCTGATAGAATATGCGAAGGAGGACGCCAGTATCGCTAACTGTATGGAACACTTTTTTGCTGCATCGTTGCAAAGACAACCTGCAACGGGGCACCCTTTGTTTGGGATGCCGCGAAACTTCACGTACACTAGTACGTGCAGAGGAAGCTAATTTACTCAAAACAGATCGTTTGAGTAAAGGTAAAAAGAGAACTGTATTTTACATAGTTAAGCTATCGATATAACTTCAGTCTTTATCTAACTATTTTATACTAAATTTTCGTATGACGACAACCTGCTCGCCACTCATTACGCGCGTCTAGCAGCGATTGGTGTTAAACTTGTTTGACATGTCTTTATCAACCAATCTTGGAGAAGCGCATATACATTATCCCTATCAATGGGGATAACATCCCTTCAATATTATCCATATCGGATAATATTGGTAGGAAATTGTCACGCTAGACAATCTCCCTATTGACACCGTTTGGTGTCAATATCATGTAACGGGCTACCCCGTTACATAACCTGACAGTTATTTATACTTACTACGGCTTCATTTGTATACATAAACATACCATGGTCATGCGAAAAGCGTAGTAATCGGCGGTATAATATGCTGCGTCAAAAAAAATATTTGGAGTTGTAGCGTGCGTAAAATAAAGCTAAAACACGCGACGTGAATCTTGAAACAACGAGTGCTGGTACTACCATTATAACGGCGAGAGGAATTTACACTGATCCGCTTGGATTACATTCCTCTTCAATATGAACGACTAAGACCTCATTATGTTGAACATGATAGCTGGACATTGCCACTTGGTCATCCGAAAATCTTTCGGCTGCCGCCGACGAACGTCAAGAACATGACGCTACAAAAAATGATAGGTGGAGTGAGAAAATTGGTGTTAAGTATGCAAGCCGTTTTTACTTACATAGACCTTAATTACATCAAAGCAGAAAAACGAAGATGCTCAATCGCGATCTTCCCGAAGCAGAATACCTCGCTCAACGATATTCAGCTCGCCGAGATGCATCGAAGGAATAATCAATCAACAAGAACGCACCGACCGACGCAAATGCCAAGGTAAGGCGACCACCTGTTCGATAGAAATGGGCCTACTTCGTTACATGTATATTCTCTAATAAAAGACTGGACATAATATTTGCGGATGTAGAACGTTGCACGTTTTTGTGGTGTTGATCAATTTATAAGTATAGTAGCAGACGGCAAGATATCGATATCTAATCTAATGGTCCTCATGAATTAGAGAAATCTTTTAAAAGTAAACAGAGATCATTTACCTGTACTCTAAATTATATTATTAGCTCTAAAAAATTTAGGTAGCGTTTACCCAGTCGCACCTCGTAGCATTTTATTGATTTTTCGATTGTAGTATAGTGTATTGTTCAAGCTGCAACCATATAGTCTCATCACAAAGCACAAAAATCTCCAATTTTAAGCCAGTGAATCGAGAGAGCATATCCAAATGTTATTCCTTTGCAATTCTCTATTGAAATATTAGTTTTAGCGTCCTCGTTTCTGATACCTCACACTCAATTCCTCCAGAATAATTCCTGATCTTAAAGCCTCTTTTCTTCACACTTTTCTGACCTCACACCAACGAGTAAAAGGATACGCTTTCTCGATTGTAAAGTTGCCGGTAAAGTCTACTCCCATTCTAAAAGAATTATGACAAATACCCCTTAATTCCCTCAGACTTGTCACAGGACATGTCTCTTACACTTCCTGCTGCTCCGTGACCAGCTCAACATTTCTTGAACGGTACCTTCGATCGTATTAACCTACTTGCATTTAAATATATTCGATCGGTGCCATCTATTAAGTTACCTGTTCGTACTTGACGAGTTACTTTCTCGCTAGTAGCCATAACTCCGGCACTGAGCCACGACAGATTTTTGACTACACGTCGCAACCTCTAAAATGCTACTCATCTT